TCATGGGGCAAAACCAGAGATGGGAAATTCTTCTTCTCATCAATGAAGGACTTAAACTATTCAGGCCCTGTGACAGACGTTGTATCCCAACAACTCTGTGAGGTTTGCCTATTTCTGGAGGCGGGAGGCTGAGACACACAGGCACCAAATCTTCCAGGATCATGTGGATCCTGGAAGCAGCGCTGGGATCCTAGCCCAGGTTTCTGAAGCCAAAGCTGCCTGTCTTTCCATTACGTGACATGCCCATTTGTGTGGGTGTTTACTTTCCATGGCTCAGGGAGACTCCTACTGACAGAGAGAGTGAACCTGGGTCTTGGTTACTTTTCTCTCATTGCTGAAACAAAATACCCAACATCCAAAATTAAGGAAGGAAAGGTTTGTTTAGCTCAAGGTCTGTGGAGGTTTCTCTCTGTAATCCGCTGGCTTCACAGCAGTCTGCCGTGGCACAGGGGTGACATTTCAAGGTGGCAGAAGACAGCAAAAGCAGCAAGAGCAAAAGGGGAAAAAACAACCCTCTTTCCCTCCCTTATATTGTAAGCAGCTAACCCCACCGCATCCCAGGGCACATACAGCACCCACACCATCTCCCTGCCCTCCTCCTACACAGGATAAGGACTTACAAAGTGAGGCTCCTGGCCCCTGCTGAGTCACTTAAATTTCTAAACTTCTCCAGTTGACACAATGTATCAACACACTGAAAGACAGGCAACAGAAGAGCTCAGGAACTTCCTGTATGGCCAAAAGGAGTGTCTGAATCTCTTATTATCAGTGGTTTCCCCAGCCATAGCCTAGAAGAGCCTACTGTGATCCATGTAGTTCAGGGTCTGTAAACCACCCATCTCCCAGCCTCTGTACCCTGCTCCTGGCTCTTCCAGCTGCCTGCCACCCTCTGGCCAGGCAGCTCTACCCACTTCCTCCCCCAGAGAAAGCACCACGTCATCTAGTGACCCCCGGGAAAGTTACATCTCTGAAAAGCCCATCCTTTCTTTCCTGCTCCAAGAGGACCCCCAACACCTACCTGTGGGATTTCCTGCAAACATCAGAGCTGCCAAAGTCCTCATGGTGGCCCTATGGTGACCCTGCCCACATCTCCCTGTAAACCCAGGTTAGTCAAACCCAAATATTTTCGTAGGAGGGCAGAGTTCCTCTGAGACCCTCCACATGGGGGACACCCCAGGAGCCGGTAGGGCCATGTGTTTCCCAGAGTCCACACCCTGGCTTCTTTACCCATCTCTGAGAGAGATGGGCTGGACGGGAGGATGGACAGCTTTGCCGGCTCTCTTGGACACACCACCCAGACCTGGAAGGCGGTGGTCATCTGTGTCCAGCAGGAACCGTGGGCTGCAAAGGGTGGTTTCATATAAAAAGTTTCACAAACCATTGAGTGGGCAGGCAGGTCTTGGCAAGTTTCAGGGACTCACAGGTCTGCAAACAAGGGCTGAGTGGACGTAGTGGGGACGAACTGGGGGAAGGAGCCCACAGAAGTCCTCGGAAGGTCCCAGGGCCTGGCTTTCGGGCTGCAGCTCCTGTGTGGTTGTCTCTGCTCAGCCACTGGCTGCAGCCTACAGTGTGGAGATTCTGAGGCCAGCTACACTACATTTTAAAGGACGTGCTGTCCCCAGGAAAACCTCACAGGACGCCCTTGTGAGGGAAATAAAGAAGGGGAAATTGCATATGAGCCTGGAGTCATCAAAAACCCCAGTGTCTGGAGACCTGTGGGGTGGGCATCCACACATCTGGCTTCAGCTCCCACCTGCTGGCTTTGTGTCCCTGAGATCATCTTTCCTGTCCTCAAGGTCTTGGGCTCCTCACTGGTGAAACAGGAGAGGCTGGGCAGGGTGGTCGAGAAAACACCGTCTAGTCCTGTAGGACCTTCTTTAGCGTCCCCTTCTGTGACGCTGGTCTTGTCCTATCCCCGGCACCATCACCCCCATGGGGCCAGTGAGACTGAGAAACTGATTTTTCCCCATTCTATCTCATACAAGTTAATTAAATATTAATTATCTACCTGTAGCTGTGGCCACCATATTGGACAGAACAGGGCTCTAGATCCAAGGATCTGGTCTGCCCTGCCTGATGGGTGTATCCAGCAAAGAATGTGGTGGGGAAGTTTTGCACAGAAAGCGTTACTGCTCAGCACAGTTGGGAAGAAACCCGGGGAGCCCCTCGCTCTGGGCTTTGCAGGGCACAGACCACCTGCCCATCCTCCAGAGCCACAGCAGAATACCAGTGTCTCTGCCATCAGGCCAGCAGCCCCATCTGCCAGGCCCGCTTGCAGGATCCTGTCTGGGGAGCCCCAGGCGGCCACCTTTCATCACTTCTTGGCAAGGCCAGAGGGCGGATACTTAATACAGATATCATCTCAGCTCATTAAGGAAGAGCTGTGCGGGAGGGAGAGCTTCCAGCTGTGGTTCTGTCTCTCTCCTCCTCCCCTGCTGTGGCCCATCCCTGCTCTGCACCCCCACATGGAGGCCCTCCCCTTCCTGGCCACCACCACTGTCTTCACTGGGACCCTGTCCACGCTTCTACCTGTGCCTCTGCCACCCAGGGATGCTCTCTGGTCGCATCACCCTTTGGCCCCCATCCTGCCGCAGCCCTCCCTCCACCTGTGGGGTGTGGGAGCTGGGCTACTCCCCTGGGAAAGCAGGTCAGTGTCACGGACATCTGCAGGGGACAAGTGTCTACCTGATGTCCTGAGCTATCAAGGACAATATAGCCTGTGGTCTGGGAGCAGCCCGGAAATGACTGCTTTTACTTTCTGCTCTGGTGGACAGGTGGCTCACTTGGGACTGCAGAGCACAGAAGCAGCGCACATCAGCTGCACCCCCAGTGGGGACGCTCTGCAGCCGCAGCCGAGCTAAGCCAGGGTCAGGCATCGCCTTCTCGGGAGCACCCTCACGTGTCCTCTGGCTTAAAGTCCGGGCTGTCGGGCATGGAAGGAAACACAGTGTGTTTCCTTCCATGCCCGACAGCCCTCTCACTGCTTCGGAAGAGTCAAAGCAGTGACATAGCCGCGAAAGTCACCTCGCAACATCGGGAAAGTCACTGCGCCTGTCTAGGCCTCACGGCCCTTGAAAGCACTTCAGCACCAAACCTGTTGGATTTTCTGTCGCAATCGCAATCCCAGCACATTTGAAAGCCACTTCCGCTATTAGACAAAACAAAACCAAGCAAGTAAGTGAGCAGCGATACAGGCGGAATCGCGTGCATCTGCCTGCACTGCTGCGTGCGCAGGCGCATGTGCACAAAATAACAAGGGGATGGGCGTAACTGTAGAGGAATAAATAGAGAACCAAAAACTTTTTTTGGAAATAAAAACATAACTGAAATTTAAAATTTGGTACAAATGTTTGACATTAAAGGAGCAGAATGAGGGCTGGGGATTTAGCTCAGTGGTTCAAGCGCCTGCCTGGTAAGTGCGAGGTGGTAAGTTTGATCCCTGGTACCACAAAAAAAAAGGATCGGAAAGGTAGAGGTGAGGACGTGTCACCCTACACAGGCTGGTGTAAGGGCAGAGTCAGGGCCACCCTGAAGCCCCTGCTCCCAGTTGGCCAAGCGCCCTCCACCTGAAGAACAAGACTGTACCCCTAGAGAGCCTTCAAACACCCCAGTACTGGGTCACCTCCCAGGCCCACTAAGGCATAGCTGGTGGTCAGAACAGGCACAAGTCATTTCTGAAGCTCTCTGGGCCATCCCGTTGCATAGCCAAAGCCCAGACCACCTGCTGCACTGGAAACCAGGTCAGAACTGCAAAGCCCTGATTGGCTCATCTCTATCTGGAAGGAAGTGTAGATGGGCCCGAAAGGGGCTTGGGCCAATAGGAAAGCCGTAAAGAGCATGAAATGTTGCTGGACCAGTGTGTCACGAGCACATCCTGTCCTGCCATGACGTCCCTCACAACCTCTCAGACCTGGGACTAGGTGATAAGTCGGCCACTACCTGGCCACCCTAGCCAGCCTGCTTTACCTTGGGCATCGCTGCCCAGCAGGAAACCACAGAAGCAAAATTCCAGCCATGGGAAATGTGGCTGCAGTCCAGACTGGACTGAAAGAGAGTGGACGCTGCCCAGTGTCCAGATGCCCATGGTCCGCTCAGTGAAGCATTAGGGACATTACAGGACCAGAAGTGCTACAGTCTCTAATTTTCTCCGGAGGAAGCTGAGACGCAAAAAGCCACCGTGACCTGCCGGGGCTGCTAAACACGCCAGGGACTGCGGCTGGGACTCAACCCCGTCTGACTCCGAGTTCAGCACCCAAACACAGTGGGGAGATCCCTCAGCATGCACTGAGTTATCCATTGGATTTACGGGTGACACGTGGATGGACATGGGGGTTTCCAGAGCCTCCCCTGAGTCTGCCTGTGTCCAGAACATTCTTTGCAAATGCCCAAGGCAGATTCAAGCCCTGTGCATCCCCGCAGGGAAGGGGCAAGGGTGAAGATGGCTTTGCTAAGCCAACAGGAAGGACAGCACCTTCCCTACACTGAGGGGGGGACCTTGCTCCACCAAGGTAGGGCAGGAAAAAGTAGCAAGGGCCAGTCCTTCCTGCCCCTCCCTTATGGGCAAGCCCCGCCCCTGGCACCTACCCTCGACCCATGCTTGCCAGGGCTCAGACAGCGTTCTCCAGAGGTGGGGGAGAATGGCCCTGAGGGTGCCACCCCCTACTAGGAGCCCGAAGCTGGAATGGTGCAGACTGCAGGGCGCTGGGGCTGGCAGCGGGTTGGGAGGAGTCCACTGTGAACTCGGGGAGCTGGTCAGACCCCCAAAGGGCAGGGCTCAGACCAAGTGGGCTGTCAGGCGCCGTGCATACCAGCACAGATCCTGAGAAAGGTCTGGCCACACCTGTCACCACACCAGGAACTTGGAGAGAGGTCTTCCTCAGGGACCCCAAGCAAGAAGTTTCACTGTCAACCTCTGCCCAGTCCGATCAGGGACACAGTGACCCTGTCATCCCCAGGGTCATCAACCTAAGCCCAGCAGAGACACAAACCAACACAGGAACCATGGGACAAAAGCACTTTATTATCCCACCCTCAGGAGCCCTGTGCCGCCTCTGAGAGTCTTCTGGAACATGCAGGAAGCAAGATTGACCAGAATCTGGCAGACACCAGAGACCCCACGCCACTGATCACCAGGCTCCAGGCTCCAGAATGGAGCCATCAGGGCAGCCGCCTTTGCGCCCGGCTCCGAAACACCAGCTCAGATCTGCAGCTGCACAGAGCGGGGAGTCAGCTGTGTGTTGGGGTGAGTAGAAGCCAGCTCCAATGGGGCCTGGGCCTTGCAGCTCAGCCACTTTCAGAAGCGGCCCCCAGAGCAGGGCACGTAGACAGGGCGGGGGCTGCCGGTGGTGCGGGCAGTGACGGAGCTGCAAGAGGCCGCAGGCAGGCAGGGCAGGCAGGACTTAGAGGGTGAGAGGTCAGCGGCACATGGGTTGCAGGGGAGCCTAGGAGACAGAAGGAACCGGGGGTTCCTATGATTTCCCGTTGCTGATCTCACGATTTCCGAGCAGATCCCAGAATGTGCAAACCGCACAGGGAGGGGGCACCTCAAAGATCTCCTAGTCCTGCCCCCTGTGTTTTATCAAGAGCAGAAAGAGAGACCCAGAGGGGAAGGGGCCAGATGGAGTCACATGAGGACACTGCCCAGGGTCAGAGCTCCTCCTGGACCCTGTGTCATCTCCCCAGTACCTCCCAGGCTGCAGGGACCCTGCGTGAACTCACTTGCTGTCCTCACTCTCCAGCAGTCCCCGGTACGTGTTGATCTCGCCCTCCAGCCTCGCCCGCACGTCCAGCAGCACTTGGTACTCCTCGTTCTGCCGCTCCAGGTCACCCCGGATCTCCGCCAGCTGCGACTCCACATTTATGATCAGGTGCTGCACCTGCGCCAGCTGGGCACTGTAGCGGGACTCAGTCTCCATCAGGCTGGACTCCAGAGCATCTCTCTGAGGAGGAGAAAGAAGTTAGACCAAGAAGGAACGAGGAGGAGCCCTCTGGCTGTCAAGTACAGAAACTCAGAGAATCACTTTGAATGGTGGCAAACCACAGCCAGGCGTCTCCCTGGCAAACCCGCTGGGGTAGCCAGCTGCTCCCAGAGAGAACCCCAATCTAACGCACCTCGGAGTAGCTGACAATTGCCCCAGAAGAGGAGCTACAAGTGGCATGTGTCAGTTGCTCTGGGAGTCTTGTCTTCCCCCACCGGGCAGCTGTGACTGGGCTTCGCCTTCCTCCCTGCCTGGCTCAGAGAAGCCCAGGTGCTCAAGAACTGTGCTCCTGTCACCTGCCCACAGGCAGAGCTTGGAGCTGGGCACCATGCACCGCAGGGCTCACCGTGCTGTGCTGGGCCTGCAGCTCGATCTCCAGGGCGTTGACCGTGCGTCTCAGCTCGATGATCTCTGCCTGGTAGCTCTGCAGCTGCTCTGAGCTTGACACCACCTGCTTGTTCAGTTCCTCAGTCTGCAACGCACACACACACACAGAGAACCTGGTCAGGAGCCTTCGAGGCCCGGTCTCTAAGGCCCCCAGAGCTACGTAGAACCAGGAGTCTGGAAGGCCCTGTGTCCCCAGCCCAATTCAATCCCGGCATCTGGGCTGCACAGAGGACAGCATTCAGCCCAAGGAGACCCCAGGAGGTCCACGCCATGCGAACCCAATCCCAGCTAGGTTTCTTGACTGGGTGCTAGGTTGCTTCCGTGTACCCTGACGACACCTCCGCTCCTACCTGGGTGTCAAACCAGTCCTCAGCCTCCCGGCGGTTGTTCTCTACTAGCGTCTCATACTGGCACCGCATCTCATTCAGAACGCGGTTCAGGTCCACAGGCGGGGCTGCGTCCACCTCCACGTTGAGCCGGTCACCGAGCTGGCAGCGCAGGGAGTTCACCTCCTGCAGTGTGGACCAAGGTCAGTACCGAGTTTATGGTTGGCTGCTTCCTGGGCTCACCTCCTGCTCCTCCCCACACCCACCTCTTCGTGGTTCTTCTTGAGGCACAGCAGCTCCTCCTTCAGTGACTCCACCTGCGCCTCCAGGTCGGACTTGCACAGGGTCAGATCGTCCAGGATGCGTCGAAGGCCATTGATGTCCGACTCCACCAGCTGCCGCAGGGACAGCTCAGTCTCGTACCTGTGGGCGCAGTGCAGAGCACCTGAAACTGCCTTTCCTTTGGCACTCGGCTCCCACTCCAGAGCAGCCTGGCATGAGTCCTCCTTTGAGCCTCAGGACTGGTGCAAGCAGCACAGATCCGCCAGCCCCAACCAAGGTGGACAGGGCACTCACTTGGTCCTGAAGTCATCAGCAGCCAGCTTGGCATTGTCGATCTGCACCACCAGCCGGGCATTCTCAGCCTTGTTGCTCAGGATCTGGGGACGGAAGGAAGTGACTTCAGCACACGAAAGGACATTGCTGCTCTGGGAGCACCCAGAGTTGGCAGGTGCTGCTCCTGGAGAAAGGTGCTTGCCTGCCATGGCCTCCAGCAGGGCTCGTGGGCAGTGCAGGGTCAGACTGTGGGACCTCCAAGGTCCACCCCAGAGAGGCCCAGGCTGGAGAGAAGGTGTGGCCACACTGCAGAAATGGTCCACCCTGGTACAACGCGGCTTCTTCCTGCCTTGCTTCCAGGCCTGCTGGGGCCCGAGGCAGGGACCCTCTGGTCCTAAATGGTCCCTCTCCACACCTAGCTGTGACCTTCAAGCACTGGGTGCTGGACAAGAAGGAAACCTAGGGATTGACTTAGGGGCAACCTAAACCTTAAAAAATTAAGAAATCAAACTCAAAATTCTCAGCAGTACTAAAGGTCACACTGGCGGCCACTTCAGAGAGCGTGTGTGAAGGTTCTGATTCTAACTGTCCTTGGGGCCCGTTGCCCAGCCAGAGCCCTGCTGTCTTCACGTGTCTTCTGATGACACCAGGTTCCCGGGTACCCACACACGCCCCCGCCCCTCACCTTCTTCTGCAGCTCCTCGATGGCTTGGAAGTAGGATTGATAGTCAGGACGCATGTATGGCACCTGCTGCTCGCACCAGTCCCGGATGCGGCCCTCCAACTCCGCGTTCTCCCGCTCCAGCTGCCGCACCTTCTCCAGGTAGCTGGCCAGGCGCTCGTTCAGGAACTGCATGGTCTCCTTCTCACTGCCCGTGAGCTCACCCTCCCCGAACCAGCTGCCCCCGGCCACGCTGTAGCTGGTAGCAAAGCTCCCGGTGGGGAAGTAGGGGCCAGGGAGGCAGCTGGCAGCCCCGTAGCTGCTTCTGCCCAGCCCCGCCGGGCACACGGAGAAGCTGCGGGGCCCATGGGACAGCTTGCAGGAGCTGCTGGAGTACATGGTGGCCACGCGGGTAGAGCCCGAGGCCGCCCCTGCAGGGCTCTTGAGGGACCCCGAGGAGAAGCTGGCCTTGTGGCACTTGGAAGCCATGGCCGCAGCTGGAGGACGTGAGTGGTGGAGATCTGACCCCAGACACCCTGACTCAGGAGCACCCCGAGGATTTATACCTCCGCCCCGGTGGGGTGGGCCAGGCCTTACAAAGCGTTCTCTCCTCGTTAAAGTTAATTCCACTTTTTACCGAAACCCCTCATTACCCTGTTAGCTCCCCAACATTTCCCGGCCTCATAAACCTGGAGCTGCTGGACGGTGGCGGCTGCAGAGAGACTCCCGCCCACTGCCCTGTACCTGGGAAGGCAGGGCCGTCTCAGTTCTTCAAAGGGGCCCTCATCAGCCAGGGCTCCCCGGGCCCCTGGCGTGGGAGTCTGCCGCCAGCCATCCTCTCCAGCTTCACCCACTTTGATGGGCTGGCAGAGGGAAGAGCAGGGGGTAGGGGACTTTCAGCCACAATGAGCTTAGGGGATCTAGAAAATACCCCACTGGCCCAGAAGCCCTGACCAGGGTGACCCATTCTCCCAGGTTCCCCAGCGCTGTGCTGTTTTGAAGGTAGGGGCATAATAGACAACTGGTCGACCCCAACATGTGGGCCCTCGATGGACAGGTCCTGTCCCGGCTGGGGAATCTGTTCTGATGGAGGAGCCCACGACTGGGAGCCAGTTCACCGGGCACCTCCCCATGCTGACATCTAGACCCCCACCTCTTGGGTGGCCCTGGGTGGGCTGTGGAGAAGACTTCTGGCTGGATGCCTGGGTGTGCAGCCCAGAGCCTGCCCTTCCTGGTTGTAACTCTACTGGGGGAGGGAGTGGCCAGCAGTGCCTGGGCAGCTCCCCAAGGCCACTGCCAAGGGCCACCTTCCAGGCAAGTGAGACCTGCAGGGGATGTCTGGGGAGCCCTACAGACGCTGGTTCTGTAGCTTGGGACCCTGTGACACCAATTATCTTCCCATGCGGACGATGACCATGAACTGGGCACTATGCACCCCCCTCACACTCATCTCCCTTCGTCCCCAGAGCAAGCAGCGCTGCTCCCCTGAAGTCAGGCTTCTCTGCACGAGCTGCAGGCACCAAGATCCTGGGGTGGTGAGTCAGTCCTAGAGTCCTGGAGTCAGCCCAGGGTCCTCCCTACCCATGGACTCCACAGAGGCCACAGAGAACAGCAAGGGGGTGACCGGGGGGAGTCACACCCACTGGCGTCAGTAAGACAGTGCAGCATGGTGACCACTGGACTCAGGGGTTCAAATCCCAGCCCTGCCAGACTGACGGACCTCATGGCCCTGTCTGTCTCGTCCTCTATAAAGTGGGAGGAAAGTAACAGCCCCTGTGCCCTAAGCTGCCACCAGAAGTGAGTTTGGAGAATCTCAAGCAGCACCTGCTCCTCTAAGTGTCCCCGAGGCCAGCTTCTGGGACTTCTGGTCACCACAAGCCAAAGTCACTAGGGCATGTGAATGGGCTCTGGGCACACAAGCCATCATCCCCCAGGCCAGATGGGTTGGGGACTTCGGGCACAGCTCTCATGAGTCATCCTGCCCTTCCCACGCCAGGTCCTAGTGTACCAAACACTGGCCCAGCGCAATCTGAGGTCCCACGGTGGCCTCAGCCTCCTCCTTGGAGATCCAGGACTCAGTGCAAAGCACACAGCAAAGCCCAAGGCCTGGCTGAGCCCTAGACAGTGTCTGTGTCTCCCACCCTGTGGGTGCAGGGTCCACCTGGCCCTAAGAAGCCAGGGCCTCCTGAGCACTTGATGGGCCACCCTGGAGCCCTAAGATCCAGAGAGGCTGAAGCAGAAAAGCCTGAAAAGGCCCACACCCTGTGACCCCTGGAGACAAGGGGGTTCCCAGGTAAAGCTCCATGCCTCAGTCCTCAAATTCAACTTTTTGAGGCTCACATTCCCTATGGACCCAATTCACAGATGAGTAAACTGAGCCAGGGAATAGTAAAGTCAACAGAATAAGCCGCTGGCCAGGCATGCTGTGTCCTTAAAATCCTGCATCCCAGACATGGACAGAAGGATGCAGACTCCTTCAGGAGGACCCAACACTCCTCCCAGCCTCAGGACCTAGTCCTAGCCAGGCTCTTCCCTGGAGCCCACTGTGCCCTTCCAATGCTGAGTGCCATGGTGGTGACTGGTGACTAGAGGGTCTTTGTCCCACCTGTTAGCCGCCATCCTCTGACTGTCCTGCCCTCCAGCCCATCTTTGCAGGATGCCGGGGTGGGGGGACGGCCCTGGGGACAAATGGACCTGAAGCGCCTTTGAAACCATGGTGCACTGCACAAGGCTGAGCCCTCGGCAACTCCAAATGAGGCATAGACAGTTTGGTCATAATAAATTGTGTTAGGCACAGAAACAAAAGAGCTTTGAGCCAAGCGTGGTGGTACACTCCTATAATCCCAGCACTGAAGAGGCTGAGGCAGGAGGATCACTGCTAGCTGGAGACCAGCCTGGGCTACAAAGTGAGTTCAAGCTTCCTGAACTACATAGTAAGACACTGTCTCAAAAAGAAAAAGGAAAGAAAAAAAGAAAGAAAGTGGTGTTTTGAGATTAGAAAGGGAGAGAAGAAAGGAAAGGAAGGAAAAACTGAGTGAGGAAGGAGGGAAAACTGGTCCTCCTCCTCCTGCTCTCAGAGGCAGGAGCCTGAGGTGGAGCCAGGAGGAGCCAGCCTTCCTCTGTGCCGTAAGAAGCACCTGTCCCCATAAGCAAGTCTGTGGCCAGAACGAAAGCCTCTGTCCAGGGGCAGCACAGCATCAGCTGCCCCAGGATCAGTGGTGCAGCTAAAACTTGGTGCTAAGATTTTCTAGGTGATCTGGCCGTGCCCTAAGGCCCTGAGCCCCTCTGCACTTCCTTGATGGGTTCCACCCAGTCCCAACCCCCTAAGCCTTCAATCTCGCTCCCGCGCTGCAGAGATTGGTGTCCTGCCCATGCCAGCTCCTGCCACGCCTGGTGCGGACCCTGGGAGTGTGGGAGGCATCACCACACCTGGAATGGAGCTCTTGGCCACTGGACCCATCGGTCACCCCAGGTGCAGCTGATTCTGCCGCCCAGCTGCACCTAGCTGGCATCATCATCCCAGGGTTTGCACTGAGGGGAGCCCAGAGCACACATCTACCCGTTCATGCCTAAGAGTCGTGGAGGAGTAAGATGTCCCGTCCATCTGAAAGGGATCCAAACAACCAGCTGCCAAAATCAAGTCACCCAGCCACGCAGAGGAGTTCGTGAAATGTGATGCTTCACGCCATCCCTCTGCCAGTATGCTGGGAACAGAGTCAAAGACCCAAGAAGATTTCCAGGGCTGCAGGGGTGCTAACACACCAGGGCAAAGGGACACAGAGGAGGCACCCATCCGGACAGGGCTGCTTGTGTGCATGAGAGGAGCCGGGAGGACGGTGGAGAGCCCACCCAGTCGTCCACACACTTCCCAAGCCCAAGGCCACTGCTGAGCTGCAACCCTGAGGCCGCAGGTGGATGGCGGGGAGGGTGTACCTCAAGGACAGGGTCCCAGCATCCTGCCACCTGCAGAGCAGAGCACAACTGCCCAGGGGGATCCTTGTGCCCCACCCCTAGTGCAGGGACTTTTCATTTAAGGCCAACGCTAGCAGCCACCTCCCCCAGGCAGCACTAGCCCACCAGAGTCTCTGAGCCACCCCCATGTCATGGGTGGAACCGCTGAGACCTGGAGTCCCGGGACATGACAGACACTGCAAGAACCCCTGGCCCTTCCTCCGCCCCCCACATCCACTCCCTTCCTTGCTGCAGCAGCTCTAGAAACAGTCCCTCCACTTCCAAACTGTCCCTGTGTCAGGCAGCAGAGATATGGGAAGAAAAGAGAGGTGACCACGGCCACAGAAGGGCTCCACTTCCTCTCGGGCCACCCGAAGGTGGGTGCTGAGCTGGGGGCTGTTGCCAGCGCCCAAGCAGAGAGGCCTTGGCCTCAGGAGTCCCGTTATTGAATATTCGGAGTCACCGGGCCTCTTCCGAGCACCTGGGCCAGAAAGACATTCTGAACCCAACCCCCACAACATCACGCAACCCCCAGAGCACCCCACGCATTTACCACGAGAGAACCAGCCAGGGTCGGGTTTGCTTTGCCAACAGCATGCACTTTATTGGGGACACACATGTCCGGGAGAACCCAGCTTTGCATGGCATAAAAGGCACAGTTAAGACCAGAAACAACACAAGAAGAATTTTGGTTGAAAACCCAGCTAAGCGGGTAAAAGGTGGGGTCACTTAGCAGCCAGGAGCCTCAGGGCGTCCTCCTTGGGGGACTTGGGGGGGGGGCAGGGTCACAGCAGGCGGGGCACCAAGTGCTCCCGGGAGGAGACAACCTTCCCGTCTCTGATCTCCTCCGTGATGGTGCGGATCTGGGTGCTGACCTGCGGGGCTGCCACGCAGGACCCAGCCGGGGCGCAGGGGGCAATGTAGGGACTCTGCACAGCAGGCTTGTACTCAGTGGAGCAAGGGTGGGCAGGAAGCCTGCAGAGAGGAAATCATACAGGGTTGTCTGGGCATCAAGACCTGGGGCAGAGATCCATGGGTAGTCAATTCAGGGATCACAAGAGCGGGTGGGTGCGGTACTGAGAGCCGGGGGTCTCGGCCCGCGGGAGGGAGGACAAGGATCCAGAAGGGAGACTTAAAAACCCCCGACTGACACCAAGGCTCAAGGGCACCCCTGGGTGTTGGATTGCTCGGCCCTGTTCACCTGAGCATCAGGAAAGCCCAGGACAGGGAAGCAGGGGAAGGGGGGGGTCTCCAGCAGCTTTGGCACCAGCCCCATCACCAAACGGCTGAGTCCAGCCATCCCTGGCCCCCCAGCACCCGTGGTCACTCACTTGCAGTCCTCGCTGTCCAGCAGGCGGTGGTAGGTGGCGATCTCCTGCTCCAGCCGGGCCTTGGTGTCCAGCAGCATCCGGTACTCCTGGTTCTGCCGCTCCAGGTCACAGCGAATCTCGGCCAGCTGTGACTCCACGCTGCTGATCAAGCCTTGCATCTGGGCCAGCTGTGATCCGTAGCGGGCCTCGGTCTCCGACAGGGTGGACTCCAGGGAATTCCTCTGCCGAGAGAGAGAGAGAGAGAGAGAGAGAGAGAGAGAGAGAGAGAGAGAGAGAGAAGGAGCTGATGGGGAGGGAACCCCAGCCCAAGAATCTACATATGGCTTGCAGTCCAGCCTTGTGACAGCCCACACCCTGGGACTGCACGGTCACCGAGGCCGCCAGGAGACCTGGCACCCACCATGCTGTGCTGCGCCTGCAGCTCAATCTCCAGGGCATTGACCGTGCGTCTCAGCTCGATGATCTCCGCCTGGCAGCTCTGCAGCTGCTCGGAGCTTGACACCACCTGCTGGTTCAGCTCCTCGGTCTGCAGGACACAGGAGGGTGCAGGGCACCGTCAGACCCAGCGCCATCCCTGCACCAGGTGAGCCCACCCCAAAAGCCGGGAGCCCCACCTGGGTGTTGAACCAGATCTCCACGTCCCTGCGATTGTTCTCCACCAGTGCCTCATACTGGCACCGCATCTCATCCAGGATCTTGTTGAGATCCACCGGCGGGGCAGCGTCCACCTCCACGTTCAGCCGGTCCCCGAGCTGGCCACGGAGAGTGTTGACTTCCTGTGGGGATAAAATCAAGGCAAGACTCAGCCAGCTGGAGTCCCAACCGTCTCCCTCCCATGCTCTGCGCCCTGAGCCAGGATAGTTGACCTCTGAGCCCAGCTCTGGTGGCACCAGCCTCACCTCCTCGTGGTTCTTCTTGAGACACAGCAGCTCCTCCTTCAGCGACTCCACCTGCGCCTCCAGGTCAGACTTGCACAGGGTCAGCTCATCCAGGATGCGGCGCAGGCCGTTGATGTCCGACTCCACCAGCTGCCGCAGGGACAGCTCGCTGTCGTACCTGTGCACATACAGCCCTGCCAGTCTGCACCCAGAGCAGCCACTTCCGGCTGCAGGGCAGCCTGGGGGTCAGGAGCTTGGTGGACCCTTCCCTTCCTTGGGCTCTGACTGGCCCTACTGCCCCACCACCCCTGGCTCCCAAGGGCACAAAGGTGAGACAGGGGCTCAGCCGACCCTACTCACTTGGTCCGGAAGTCATCCGCAGCCAGCTTGGCATTGTCAATCTGCAGGATCAGCCTTGCATTCTCAGCCTTGGTCAGCAGGATCTAGGGGATGGGAGGCATCAGCGGGTTGCGACGGCCCAGCCATCTAAGGGCAGAGGGGAGGGGTGGCCCAGCCCTGAGCCCCAAGCCTGCCCTGACACTGCACCCCAGGATGCAGAGGCCACTGGCCCCGGGAGGGCCATCACAAGGACACCAGAGGTCACCGGTGCTGGCAGCTGAGGCTACCAGGGTGGCCCATAACAGGACAAGGCAGACCAGGGGTGAGTTTCTGCACCTGACACTCAGGCTATGTAACCTCGGGTGCCTTGCAGATCTCCCAGACCTCAGCTCTCAGGCCTCAGCGTCTTCTGCTGAGTGAGTGTCTAGTGACACGCAGCTGCCCCGGGCTGGCAGGGCAGGACAGGATCAGGCTCAGTGCTGGGCCCAGCACAGCTGGTGCACGTCCTTCCCTCCTGCAGCCCGGACAGGGCACAGCTGGCCACAGCAGCCCCAGGAGAGTCCAGAAGCCACGCACGCACCTTCTGCTGGAGCTCCTCCATGGTCCTGAAGAAGCCCTGATAGTCTGGGCAGATGTAGGGGACCTGGCACTCATACCACTCCCGGATGCGGGCCTCCAGCCCTGCGTTCTCCTGCTCCAGCTCCCGCACCTTCTCCAGGTAGCTGGCCAGGCGGTCGTTGAGGAACTGCATGGTCTCCTTCTCACTGCCGTTGAAGGAGCCCTCACAGAACCAGCCCCCGCTCCCAAGGAAGCCAGAGGGGTGGCCCCCAGTAGAGAGACAGGAGCCAGGCAAAAAGCTCCCAGGCCCAGAGAGGCCCAGCCTGAAGGAGGAGCCGGACCCCACAGTGCCAGCCAGCCTTGGGACCCTGCAAGAGCCCCCGGAGCGGAAGGAGGACATTCGGGAGAAGCCACCGGCCGAGCCACAGAGGCCCCTGACGGAGCCAGAGGAGAAGGTCGAGGTGCAGATCTGAGTGGCCATGATGGGATCAGAGAGGACGTGTGTCACCGGGCGAGACACCAAGGCTGTGTCCTTCCTCGGCCTCTCAGGATGCTTATATCCACCCTCCGCGGGGCGGCGGCTGTTCTTGGGTAAGCCAGCTGCTGGTCTAGAAAGCTAATTTGATGAGACTGTGATTTTCCTGCCACCCATCCAGAATTCCTGACCTTGTAAAAAGCAGGGGAAAAAGTGTTGAATTTGGTTTGCTAAGTCAGGACTCTGCTGTCGTCTTCTCACGGGGATGAATTTTATTGCCTCTTCAAAGACTCTCCCCTAGATCCCAAAGCCGGGAGTGGCCTCATTCACGACACAGTCCCTGCCCACCGCCTGCTGTCCCCTGAGGTGCCTGGTGTCCCCACCCTGCTCCTCTTGGCTTGGGCCACTGTGGCAGTGGACAAGGAACTGAGAAACGGACCCGAAGTCCGTGGCACACTGACCCTGGGCACGTTCTTTTATTTACATTTCACAGCCACCCTGCAATGGGATGATAACCTCACAAGGGGGAAACTGAGGCCCACCCATGATGGCGGAAATGGGGGGCAGAGCTTCAGCTGAAACCGGGGTCCCATGTTCCACCACTTCCGACACAACCACGCGGTCAAGTCTGAGCGCCCAGAGCCCGGAGCAGGAGCTGAGGTTCCAATCCTGTGCCCTGGCTGTATCTCTGCTCTTCCATGTCCCCTTTTGAGGACACCAGAGAGCCACACCCTACCGACTTCACTCCAGCACGAGGCAGGTCAGTCAGGAGCTGAGGAAGAACAGAAAACAGCGTTCCAGTGGGCGCTGCACAGGCGCTGGCCAGGCTCCAGGCAGCCTCGTGACCTCTGCAGTCTGACCCCCTGACCGCGGCCCTGCTCAGGTCTCGAAGACTCTCTGGACAGAGAAGGAAGAAAAGGAACAAACCTAGGTCCTGCCAGAGAGTTGTGCAAGAGAGGGCGGGGAGAAAGAGCTCGAAAGACCCAAGCTAAACCGGGTCCTTCCGCCTCAGAGCTGGGTCTCCCCCTGGCTGGGAACCAGCTCCCTCTCTGCTCTCAGGCCCGGCTGGGCTGGCATTACAGAAGCATTTATGCGCTTCTGACGCTGTAATTTGCCAGCCTCTTAAAACACTTTATAAGCTTCTCTCACAGATCACTCAGGGAGGACTGGCTCTGGCGACCACACCTGGCGGGGTGTGGTGGGCACTTGGGCAGCCCATGGTGCTTCCCTGCCATGCTGCCTTCCTGGGGCAGGACAAGGCTGCCAGCCCCCAGCACCCCACCTCCTCACAGCTGCCCATCTCCCACCTTCCTGGCTTCTCCCCACAGCCAACCTGGGGCCAGGAACAGCCTGGGGCCACAGCGAGTTCACCCTCCTGCCAGTGTGGCCTCTGTTACAACAACTAGAACCGTCTAGAGACCACCGTGTGACGTGCAATGGGTACATCTGAGTCACCTGTAGGGAAACGGATGCACCTTGAGCCCTGGTGCATGGTGAGGGGAAAAAATCAGACACGCAAGCCTCAATATCACGTGGTTTCTCTCAAGAGAAATGCAAAGTATAAATAAAGAGGAAAATACAAGAGGGAGGAGGAAAGGGGGAGACAGAGCTTTTGCAATTGGGAAGGGAACCAAAGCCTGAAGAGTGAGCTGGGCATGGCAGTGCATGCTTGTCATCCGAGCACTCAAGAGGCTGAGGCAGGAGGATCATTGTGAGTTCAAGACCAGCCTGGGCTACAAAGTGAGCTCGAGGCCAGCTGTCTCCTCATGGTGAACGTAAGCACTGTGTGCAGCAAACACATGCTCATAAAAATAAAAATTTTTTAAATAGAATTGTGTTATACCGAGGCAGGAAGAAGAAAGAAAGGAACTTCCGGTAGCCCCAGGAAAAGAACACCCCCAAGTGAGGCCGCCCAGGCTCAGCCAGAGACCAGGGGTGATCTGAATTCCTCCACATCCCACTCTGGGTCCCAGGCCACCAGAGAAGAGTCACTGGTCAAAGTCATCTCTCAGCTCCCTGGGACTCCTGCCCCGTCTCTGGAAGGCCGTGTGGTCAGGGCCCTCAGGGAGCTGTGGAAGGGACTTGAGGGACACACAGTCCCTCTGCTGCCCCAGCCCAGCAGCTGGGACCTCCAGGGAGGAGGCAGAGCCACGGGACCGGACAGACCCAGACCTCTGTGCCGGGGCTTCTCTTCCCAGGGGGGTTTTGTTTGCTGCACAACTATTCAGAAGTCACCTGTCTTCTTATGCACATTTTGTTAAGTTAAATAATTTTAAAAATCCATTTCATGAGAGTTGTCAGATTTCCTGGCATGTTATTCTGACTTCTCTCTCTCTCTCTCTCTCTCTCTCTCTCTCTCTCTCTCTCTCTCTCTCTCTCTCATATATATATAGGAAATTAACAATTCTGTTCACTGTTCCAGTTAACCAGAGTTTTGGCTTTATGATTTTTCTCTGCTGTCTATTGATTTTCAATTTCATTGATTTTCACAAGAGAGAGACAGAGACAGAGAGACAGGGAGACAGAGACAGACAGAAAGTCTCAAGGATCTCTCACTGCAACCCCGGGAAAGTGCTAAGGGGCCACCCCCACCCTGGCAACCCAGTGCTCAGGGCTAAGGGAACCAGGGTGCCCATTTACAGCTTTTAAACTCAAAATGAGATGCTGCTGAGACCCCACTTTCTCCCCTCAGTCAAAAGTGCCAGCCTGTGGGTGCAGAGGCCTGGACTCCTCGCCCAATCTGGCCCTGCTCCAGACCCCAACTCCCCATTCCCACCATCTCTGGTCCTGGAGCCCCCATCTGACCTGGAAGGCTCAGGCGCTGGGTGGGGCCCCACCCACCCCAGATAGGAGATAGGATCTGTCCCCAGCTGCCTGGGTGGGACCTACTTGCCACCGCCCAGCCCTTGTGGCACATGACATGACTGAGCTTTCTCGGCTTTCAAGGCTTCAGGGTCCTCCTTGGTCTCTTCACTGGTCAGCGCGAGACCAGAGATGCAGGCTCCCCAACCCCAGCCCTGCCTTCCATGGGCAGAGGGACTGCAGGGACCCCCAGGGCTGCTCCCGAGAAGGCCATGCAGGCTATGGTGGGCGCTGAGTAGAGCTCCCAGGACATGCAGGCTGAATGGTATCTTCAGCCACCTGAGCTGGAGACTTCCCTCTGCAGGACAAGGAGCCAGATACAATGTAGCCACAGGCTGGATGGCAGGGGCAAGGGCCTGGGTTCCTCCGAACCTCGTATGAGTAGGCTCACGCTGGGGTCACAGGATCAAGCCAACCAAGTCAGAAAGATGCTTGATAGACTGCGGTACGTTTCAGGGACTCAGAGGATCAAAACTTCTGAGCACCCAGGTAGCAGGCTGAGTCTAGGGCATGAGCAGTCTGCCCAGTGTGGGGGCAGCATCTAGGAAAAATGTCTGCTCAGAGGGGGCCAAGGGCTTTCCCAGAGCCTGCTGGTCTCTGTGGCCAGAACCATCTCTAGGCTCAGGAGTCAGCCCCAGGGCTCACAGGGCAACTTCTGCCCACTGTGAGAGGACAGGTGACGCTGCTGTCCAGACAGAAGGACTTGGGCTTTGCCCAAGCTCACCCTGCAAGCATCAAGTTCAAGACCAACCACTGTGTCTCATTGCTGCTTTGTTCAAAAGAAGCCCTGGGGCCTCAGTACCCTTCCATCAGAAAGCCAGGGGTCAGTATGGACAAAGGCCCAAAACCAAGCCTGAATCTCCTTCTGTACTCTGTGCTATCCCTTCAATGCCCAACTAGGCATAGGGCGTGGTGGGGGAAAATGGGTTCCCAAGCAAGTGCTCCCTTTTTCCAACCTCTCTGAGCCTTGATCAGAATGTGCCAGTCACTAACCCCATGGGACCCCAAAGGCAGCAGAAGGAGCAGCCCAGACAGCAGCCCATGGACAGCCAGGGCATCTGCCGGTGGGCACAACTGACCACTGGTCATTCTAGAAGGCCAATAGCTATGTACTTTGGCTAAGGCTTCCTCTGGATTCTCACAAGGCCACACACAGTTCTGCCACAAGGTCCCACCTGAAAAATGCTGGTCTATGTCCTGACTTCACCCAAATCTACCCAAGACACTGGGGCACACACAACTGATACTGGTTTCCCACACATGAGTGATTTTTTCCCTGTAACAACCTGTTCAAGCTTCAGGGCACCTGGAATTGCCGCCCTGGCTTGGTTACAATGTATCTGTTCCACCCAATTACAATGTGTTCATGTTTTCTGGTTACAGTATATCCGTGTGAGCCAGATACAATGTATCCATGTCAAGTAACCACATCCATCATGTCAGGCTCCTTCCAGGACCTGCAGCCACAGGTTCCAGAGCTGGAGGAAGCCATGAGAACTAGGAGACTCACAGTTAAGACATCACCGGCTGCCCATCTAGTATTGTCAGAGTGTCTGCTCCAAAGGGCTCCCAGTCTGATGGTGAAGGCTCAGGGCCATTCACAAACCCAGTGAAAATAAAGTTGCTAGATTCAGCAAATAAAAATGCATGTATTGTTTGGGACACATTTATACTAAAATGTTAGTTGTTGTCTGTCTGCAACCCATTTTCACTGGGCAGCCCTCAGTGAGGAGGCATCATGGCCAATTTATGGACTGTCACGGTGGCTGGCTGCACTGGGGACAGATATATCCTGCTTCCCTTGACAAATTGTGCCTTTTGGTCCCCTTGCACCCTGGTCTCAGAGGCTACCTTGTCTGCTTTTTCCAGCCTAGGGAGTGGCACTCGTGGCTAGGTTGTCCTTGATCTGGTCCTGGTCACTTCAAGGACATCCCACCCTGCTCTGGCTGCCTCCAGCAGGTGACTCAGACCTTCCAGACAGGATGCATCAAGTCTCTGCACACTTCCGTCTCTCCAGCAGGCCAAACCTCTGTCTCACCCTCCTCAGCATCACCAGGCTTCCTGGGCCCAGAACAATCTTGAACTCACTCTAAGAAACAAGGAAGCCCCTGCACAGGGTCCCAGAGCAGCTGATGAGGCACCACCAGGACCCTGATTGGCAGCCCCATGCCCCCCCCCCTCCGCAGCACCTTGAACACAGGCCCAGCCTTGCCCTGAACAGACCTCGAAACACACACTTAACCCAGCGCAGGACAAGACCATCTTTTCTTCCCTTTGGGGTGGCTTTGGCAATTGCCCATTGTCACAGTGGGTGCCCAGAAAGCCTCCCTGTCCCAGCAGGAAGTCTTACCTCTGCAGTCCTCTGGAGGCTGTGCTCTACTGTCCTTGACCAGCATTTGCTGCCCTCACGCTCACAGACAGCTCCTACTCCCCGGCCACAGTGGAGGCCAGCAGTTTCCATTGCAAGAGCCCAGGGCCTTCCTTTGGGGCCAGTCCCAGCTCCCCAGCCCCACTTTGATGGGCCAGAGTATCCCAGCACATCCTTCCTCTCCAGGGGCACTAGGAGAACCTGTGACTTGGAGATGTGTGATCAGGCCCTGGGAACTAGTGCTCAGTGTCCCATGTCCCCTTGATTCACGTAAGTGAATTATAAAGCAAACTCCCCAATGTCTGTTTGGATTCTGTGGTCTGTGCTGGCAAGGCCCGGGGTGCAGAGGGCCTGACGTCCCTCCCACAGCAGCACATGAGGCCGGGCCACACCACGGGTTTGCTTTCAAGTGGCTCTGGGTGCTTGGATGAAAGACGCCACTGGGTTTTATTATGTGTGCTCATAAAAACAGACCGAAGAGGGCAGCCGGACCCTGGCCAGCTCCCCCAGGCTCCACCCTGACAGGAGCCTCACCCCCCTGTCCCTTCCCAGGGATGGGGCAAGGTGCTCTCCCAGGACCCCAGGAGCTGCTGGTAAGAGCCCATCCCATTTGCCCTGCACCACACCAGCCACCAGCAGCCCCAGGGACCACTCAAAATGACAGGGGTCCCAGGCAGGGAGGAAGAAAGGCTCCACAGTGCTGGAACGGCACCTCCTCACGCTCTACCCACAGCCCTGCCGTGACCTGGGCTTCTCTGGGCAGAACACAAGGTCCACAAAGGCCCAGGCACCCCCACTTTGTGCTCTGGGTCTTTGTAGATTCTCTAAGCTGCCACACATAACAAACTGACCACCTGTCCCGGCGGGGCCTCAGGCTGGAGACAGATGGGCCTCCTGTCGCCCTGCGTCCCACCCCTCCATGCTGGTGTCTAGGGACCCTGACCCGCTCTCTGGTGTGAGTCTGCCCCCTGCAGGGCTTGGGGAGACAGGCAGCCCTGTGGACACAGAGGCTCGCCAGCCCCTTAACCAGGGCGGGGCCTTGGGGACTGACAGGGAGGTGCCCTTTGCTCACCGAGAGGAGGCGCCAGTAGCCCCACCGGCCTCAGCCTCCTAGGCACAGCACCTGCCATAGTCCGCTCCCTGAGGAGCCTGGCCTAGAGCTGGGCCCCCTGCACTACAGGAATGTCACCAGTTGATCCCTTTTCCCCTTAAGTGCCAGGGTATGGGACTGAGCCTGGATTCCTGGTGGAGCACCTGGGAAGCAGGGTTCCCAGCCCCCACACTCATGGGCCCCTTAGCTGACTGAGCCTCAGTCTTTCAGATGTGAAGTGGGCACACAGCGCCACTGCTGGCTTGTAATGAGGAGACCGAGCCACAGAAGGCACTTGCAGAGTGGTATTGAGCATGGCGTCCCCACCCCTCTGCCCTGGGGCTCACACCAAGATGACTCAGTGGGACAGGACAGCATGCAGCCTGCTCAGCACTGCAGCACGCGAAACAAGGTGGCCTAGTGTGAGGACAGCCCAGGAGGGGCAGTGCCAGCCCAGCAGGTGTGATGGCTCTGCTCTTCCTCAAGGGCCACCCCACATGGTGACTAAGGGGACAGATAGAGTCCCAGGCACCTCCCCGGTCAGAGACAGGTGCCTCTTCTCACAGCCCTGCATTCCTTGGATGGGCGTGGATTTCTCAGCATCCTCCCTCAGGTCTGGTTAGTGTTCTGGTCTGTGTCACTGTCCACCCAAGCAGCTCTCACCCAGGAACAGCTGATCCAGCTCAGGACACCATCGGGCTGGGAGGGGCCAAGGCCCCCGCTCAGGACCCAGGGGCAGCTGGCTTTCAGGGCCCTGCCCCCTACTGCCTAGGGCCAGGGCTCCTTTTCTGGTGCCCTGGGCATGGGGCAGCTTAGGGCTTTCCCTCCCTGTAGCTCACGCTCCTCAGTGTTCATCCGTCAGGTGCCTATTGCATCTGGCCACAGGGCAAGGGCAGAGAAGCAAGGGGCCATGCGCAGAGGTGCCATTTTCTGAGCAGTTACTTTGTGCTCAAAGGGAGAGGGGCAGAGCTCCCAGGAACTCTCACAGAAGCTCCTGGGAGACCAGAGATCACCTCCCCTGAAGCCAAAAACCCCGTGACAACCCAGGTGGCCCCTGAGCCGCAGGTCCTCAGGACCCCAGTCCCTCTCTTCCTTTGCTGAATGTTGCCTAGGCCCCTTCTCCAGCAAGGTGCCTGGCCCCAGGTGCGAGAGTCTCATACCCATCCCCTAGGGTGTGCTGCCCATGCTGGGGTTACGGTACACGCACGTGAGCACCTACTGTACCCTCCACCAGCAGGAGAGCTGCCTGCCTGTGTCTGAACCTTCAGTAAGATCTTGAGAACAGCCAGATGTGGTAGCACACACCTGTAATCCCAGAGTTTGAGAGGCTGAGGCAGGAGGATCCCTGTGAGCCGAAGGCCAGCCTGAACTGCATAGCAGAAACCCTTCTCACAAAGACCGAAAAAAGAACCTGGTAAACAAAGAGGGCATGTAGAGAGAAAGAGGCAGAGTCAAGCCAGACCGAGGTCATCCGTGGAACAGAGCGGTGAGACTGCGTCCTTGTGCAGAGTGGGGCGCAGGAGGCCAGACTGCACTGGGGAGGTAGGTCGGAGGCAGAAGGCCCAGATCCCCATCCTCGCCAGTGAGGGGTCTGAGCTTTCCTGCGGTCTGTGGGAGCTGTCATTGGGCACTTCAAGGACAGAGGGGTGACATTTTGATCGACCCCAGGGAGTGTGGTGTGGACCAAGGGCAACAAGGTCTCCAGAGGAGGAAGTTATGGCCCCAGGTCACTGAGTTAGACTTAGGGTCCCTGTGGCTCCTGGGACTCTACCCATGAGAAGGACCATAAAGAGCAAGGGGCAGAAGGGGCCGAGAGGCCACCTGCCTCTGGCTTAGGTCTACAGCTTGTGCAACGAGAAGTTGAGGCAGGAAGGTCCCTGGGATTGGGGTTCAGGAGGAGATGTCCTGCATGCAGTTGGGAAGCCAAGAAGGACTTCCCCAGTGCCCCAGGCTTGAGACCCATCATCTTGGGGGTCATCGCACCCATGGGGCCATCCAGGATGGCCTAGGGGTGAGGAGGGAATCAGGAGAGAACATCAGCCCTGAAGGGAAGATTCCAGGGGCTCCATGGGTGTGTAGGAGTGGGCACGGCCGGGGACTGGGACTCAGAGAGGAGACTGGAGTTGGGGCAGGCTGAGGCCCCTCAGTGAGGCCCAAGTAGTCAGGAGTGATGGGAGCCTGGGGTGGGCTGGAGGACACAGGGACAGAGCCCTGGGCCACAGGACACCAACAGCCCAGAAGCAACCACAGTGACAGGAGGCAGGAGGCAGGCACATGGGAGCTGGCATGGTGTCCCCGCCTCAGAGACCTCTCACAGTGCCCTCTGCAGTGTACCCACATTTCCCCACCCCCTTTGCTGACTCTGAGCTCCCCACAGTCCCGGGGCAACAGCTCAGGGGTCCCTGATAACGGCCACAGGTCCTCACTCACTGGGGACCTGCACCTAGCAGAGACTGTGCCCTCCCCCTTCAGTGTCCCACTCCAGTGAGAAGCCCTGTCCCCATCAGTTCCCACTCTGACTGTCTGGCCCAGCTCCCCCCGGCTCATCCCCAGCCCCAAATAGGGCCACCATCAAAAACCAAGCCAGAGTCAGCAATACACTTGCAAGGCAGGAAGCTTTATTGGATCAGCCGCTGCTCTCAGCGGAGGAGCTGAGACAAGGCAGTGCTCATTGCGTGGGGTGCGGGGTGCGGGGGTGGGGAAGGGGTGGGGAGCAGAGAGTGGGGAGGGGGAGGATCATGAGGAAAGGAAGGGCCCCTCCTCAGGGGATGCCAGGGCAGGGGGCAAGGGAGAGCCTGGGCCTCCACAGTGGCCCTCTATCCTGCAGGGCAGAGGAAGCAGGTTAAAACCTGCGGATGTCAGAGCGTCGGGGAGAGCCAGAGCCGGAGACGTTAGAGGTGGCACTGCCACTTCCTGGGACACAGAGGAGACAAGAGCGGCTCAGGCTGGAGAACCGCCCCCCCCCCAGGCCAGGCAGGGTCCTGGGGTCCTCGAGCTCCTGAGTAGTCAGAGGTGCATGGATGGCACCCCTTTCTTACTGAGACAACCTGCTGGCTCTCAGGGCAGAGCCATCCAGTGTGAAAGGAAATTAGGTGAACACCTGAGCGAGCCCACCCTGGGGCCCCCTACCCCAGTTCCCCCTTTACCAGCCCAGCCCCACCCACCAAGAGCCCAGGGCCTCCCCGGAAGCTGCTCCTACCTGCAGAGGAGGCTGACACAGCCAACCTGGAAGGGCAGAGAGAGCCGTGAGCAGAGAATCAATGGCAGAACTGTCCCTGGGAGCCCTGCTTCACACAAGGCCTGCTTGCCTGCCTGCCTGTCTGTCTGTCTTGTCTCTCTGTCCATGTGAGAGCCCTCGGGAGAACCCTTGAGTGGCTCCCAGTCCGGGGCATCTCACAAGCTCTGCCTTCCCGTGGGTTCCTCAGTACACCCCGCCACCCCGCCTAACCCTCGGGTCCCCCGCCTCTGCAGATGGTCTGTGGCCCCTGCGGGGACCAACCTGGCGTCCTGGCCCTCGAGCAGGCTGCGGTAGGTGGCAATCTCCTGCTCCAAGCGTGTCTTGATGTCCAGCAGCATCTTGTACTCCTGGTTCTGGCACTCGGTCTCTGCCCTCAGGTCAGCCAGCTGAGCCTCGATGCCGCTGATGAGCCCCTGGATCTGCTGCAGCTGCAGGGCGTAGCGGCACTCGGTCTCTGCCAAGGTGCCCTCCAGGCCGGCTTTCTACAGGGAAGAAAAGGACGGGGTCACGTTGGAAGCCCACTGGGGAGTCCTGGAGGCAGCAGCTGCCAGGGGTGGCAGTGGGGGTACCATGCTCAGCTGGGACTGCAGCTCGATCTCCAGCCCCTGCAGCGTGCGCCTCAGCTCCGTGATCTCCGTCTTGCTGGTCTGAATCATCTCCGTGTTGGAGGCCACCTCCTTGTTCAGCTCCGCGCTCTGGAAACCAAGTGAGAGGAGGTGATGGAGGAGCCCTGGAGCTGCGTCAGCCGGTGCCACCTGGCCATCTCAGCAGGGTAAACGGGGTTGGTACCTTGCTCTGGAACCAGGCCTCGGCATCCCTGCGGTTCTTCTCCGCCATGGCCTCGTACTGCTCCCTCATCTCGGCCAGCACGCGGGTCAGGTCCACGCCTGGGGTGGCATCCATCTCCACGTTGACCTGGCCCACAACCTGCTTGCTGAACTCCTTCATCTCCTGCGGGAGTGGAGAGAGGGCGCATGGAGTGCCTGTCCCCATCACGGCGCTGGGCCATCCCTGCTCGCCAGATGCAATTGCTGGCCCCCCACCTCCTCGTGGTTCTTCCTCAGGTAGGCCAGCTCCTCATTCAGGCTCTCGATCTGCATCTCCAGGTCGGTCTTGGACAGGGTCAGCTCGTCCAGCACCCTGCGCAGCCCGTTGATGTCCGCCTCTACACCCTGGCGCAGGGCCAGCTCGTTCTCGTACCTGAAACATTCCAGACACGTGTAACGGACACCACCCACACCTCCGCATGCACATGCCAGCCTCTGCGGCTTCTCCAAGGCCTCCCCACAAGCCGTCACCCTCCCGAGGTCCCACAGCACAGCTCTAGAAGAAGGACTCCGCCCAGAGCGAGCTCACTTGAGCCTGAAGTCGTCCGCAGCCAGCCTGGCGTTGTCGATCTCCAGGATGACCTGGTTGTTCTCAGTGGTGGCTGCCAGGATCTGCAAAATGCAGAAGGGGGTCCCTGGAGCATCCCCATATTTGGGGAGCAGAGCACTGGCAGGGCTGTGGCCACTCAGCCCCACTGTCCTGGAGCAGGGACCAGGCACCTGCCTGATCCTCAGTTCAGTTCCTCTTCTGCAGAGGCAGGGTGGGGTCGCTCTGGCCTATCACCTCAGACTTCCTGTCTGCTCAGGGTGGTGGGGGGTCGCATGTGCCTTCCAGGGGAGCCACAGCACCTAGCACATCTCTGGGTGTCAGCAGCCTCAGGCCTGCCACCTCCTCAGGCTGCTATCTCCTTACTATCAGAAGGGACTCGGTGTCACAGGATTTTTCAGTAATCTCTCTGGAGCTGACCTCCCAGCCACGTGTAGGGAAAACCAAGTGAAGCCCTGAAAGCTCCCCCACCTCGCTGAGGCTGAGGCTTAGGTAGGGGACCTCTATTCCAATAAGCTGCTGTCCCAGGTGAGGGACCATCTTGCCCCGGGCATCGGGCCCTGCCCTGCCTGAGTCGCTGTCTGATTCCTCCTCTGCTTGGTCGCCATCAGTGGGGAACAAGAGTTTCGTTGGCTCCCTTCAAAATAAGCAGTCACCCCCAGAACCAGGCACGCACATGCCTTCCCTTCCCCGTTGATTTTAGTCATCTGTGATGGTTTTCAAAACAGCCGTGTTTCCAAAGAGCTTGGGATTATAGAGATGGAGTCACACATTACTTGGGAGCCATAAAACTCGCTGAGGCAAGAAGTAACGGGAGAGAGCGAATTTTGGGGAGTCAGGTCTGAGAAAGGACCTGAGGCAGCGACTCTGGAAGCAGAGGCCCTTGTGAAGCCCCTGCATGTCTGACCTCGGAGGCCCTGCGCTACCCCGAGATTCCCTCTCCGAGTCCGGGCAAGTGCTCACCTTGGCCCGCAGCTCCTCGATGTCCTTGTAGTAGCGGCTGTAGTCCCGCTCAGGGCTGACCGGGCTCTGCTTCTGGTACCAGTCCCGGATCTTCACCTCCAGGTCGGCGTTGGCCTCCTCCAGAGCGCGCACCTTGTCCAAGTAGGAGGCCAGGCGGTCGTTGAGGTTCTGCATGGTGATCTTCTCATTGCCGGACAGGAGGCCACGATCACCACCACCAAAATCACCGAAGCCACCGCCGAAGCTGCCGCCAAAACCCCCGCCATAGCCTCCTCCGAAGCCGCTGCCAGCCCCTGCACCAAAGCCACAACTCATGCCTGCCCCGTAGCCTCCAGCTGACCCTCCGGAGGCAAACCGAGTGGAGCAGGTAGAGAAGCTGCGGCCACCCCCGAGCTGGCAGGAGCCACCCCCGTAGCCCGCTCCATAGCTGGAAGAGGAGGTCTGCAGGCGACAGCTCATGTTGGGAGCGAGACAGAGAGCAGGAGAGCAGGCACAGAAGAGCACTGAGCTGGGTTTGGCTGAGCCAAGGACGATGGCTCTTCCCCGGAGTGGACGCCTTTTATGCGCCCTCCTTGGGGTGGGACTTCTCCCCACCCCTCTCCACCTCTGACTTGGTGCCAGGTACACTCTGCTTCCCACAAGCCCGGGGACCTCTGATCTCCAGGGTGGGTTGTGTCTTTGGGGATGGATTGTTTTTAATCCTTAACAAAAGGGATGATTCAGAGGGTGCAGCGCTCTGCCCGCGTCTGCCCCCGACAGCTGAGCTCTCACCTCTCTGGAAGGAGCTCTTTCTGCAGGCATCAGCCGCACCCCAGGTAAGAATGAGGCCAGAGCGCAACACCTAGGGGTAGAGGTGGCTGCAAAGTGACCCTGTGTTTGGCAGGATCCCGTGCCCCCAGCTGCCCTTCTTTCTTTCTCTCCAAGTCCTGGCTGAATGTCCCTGCTCAAAAGATGAGGCTCCATCCTATAGAACCAACTGCCTTGCACATGGTTAGGCTGGGAAAGACCTGACCCAAGATTATCAAAAAAATAACAGTGACAGGAGCCTTCAGGGACCTTGGGGACCATGAAACAGCTGGGGAAACTGAGGCACGGGAAGAGGAAATGCCCCTGCTCACGCTCTCAGAGCCTCCCTGACCTGGATCCTGGGCTACGATTCTCACCACTGTCTCTCACCTCGGCTGCCCCATAACCTTAAGGGAAGTTCAGAACTGAACGCCCAGTCTGGTTCCTCTGATACAAGGCTTGCTTTACATATGATTTTCTTTCTTGTTTTTGTTTTTGTTTTTGGTACCAGGGATTGAACTCATGACCTTGTGCTTGCCAGGCAGGTGCTTGGACCGCTGAGCTGTATCCCCAGCCCTTAGGTACATTTTTCATTCAGTGAAATGAGTGTACCCTGTACACTGACCCGATGAATGTCCAGCATGTGCACCCTGCATCCCACCAGCTTCCTGAACAGCGCCTTTGCTCGGTTCCCGTAGCTCACACCTCCAGCCTGAGCGCCCTCTCGGTTTCCCTTCTTGGGGACCCCTTCAGAGCGTCCCAGCCAGGGGACACTCACCAATATCTAGAGATAGTATCATCATCACAATAGGGGATGTTCTGGGTGAGGAGAGGCCTGAGACCTTGTCCAGGGCAAGCCCATAACCAGGAAGGGGTTTCAAGGCCAGAAGTCAGTGGTACTGTGACTTTTGAGGAGCCTGGGCCCCATGTGGACCAGATTTAATATCCTATGATGCTCTTCCCTGCTGGAGAGACATGGTAACAGGGAAGGAAAGGCTTGGGGTGCCTGAGCAGGGCCCCTGGGCCCTGATTTCATTTGTGAGTATCCCACTAGCAGGGAGACGTGGCCCAGGACCTGTCCCAGGGTTTATACTGGGCACTGTGGAGTGACCCTGCCCCAGGAGGCCAGACCAGCTGAAAGGAAAGAATAGGAGAGAAATTTCCAGGGGCAGGCAAGGAGGACCGAAACCTGGGCTCTCAGCCCCATACCCCCCAGGGCCAGTTGCTGTGGGTGCTGCCTGGGAGACAGCTTCAGGCCCAGGATAGCCACCAGGGTCTGTAAGGCTCCATGCTGGGCCAAGGCGAGAGGCACCACACCAGCCTGCCTTGCAAACCTTTGCTAAGTCAGCAAAGCCAGGAGAGCCCTGCGTCAGGGCTTTGCAGCCCTTTGTGCTTGGGGGGAGGAAGTGGGTTGTGTCCACCCAGTGGGTGGGTGCCAGCATGGGGAGAGAGCCAGGGTGAGCGTGGTGCCCAGACACGGCAGAGAGGCCAGGCTTTGGCTGACCCCGGCCCAGCCCAGCCTCCCACCCTAGGAATAGGAGTGATTCAGCCCAAAGCAGCTCTGGGGATCAAACATGACAAGAAGGTGATTAATGGAACCTGCTAGGCCTTCGGTGACAATACCCCGCGTTCCGTTCCGTTCCAGGGCTGAGCAGCAGGTTAGGGCCAACGCCTTTGCCCCTGAGGAACAATGTGGTGGATCCTGCAGAGCCTGGCAGGACAAACACAGCCAGGCCACGACCCAGACAACTGCTCCACCTCAGTAAACCATGGGGGACACAGTCACCCACCTGGAGGAAGCTGGGCACAGACCCATCCTGGGGACCACGTCCCCAAACACCACCTCGGACAACAGGCACACTACTGGCCTGTCTCAAGTGTCCTGCCTTGCTTTTTGGGAAAAAACAAGACCAAGTTCAGACCCCTCCCTGGTTACCCAGGAAGAGAGAAAAGCTGTGTTTCTGCCAGAATAGGGATTTTTCGGTTACTCAAGAAATGGCAGCAGGAAGCAACCAGTGGAGGAACGTCAGGCTGCAAAGCTGTGCGGCCAGAGTTTGTCAGCAGCTCACAGAAACAGCCTACAGGACGGGGAGAAGATTCTGCCTGCCGCTCCTCAGCCTGAAGACTGACAGCACAAATGTACAAAAAAATTAAACCACCTCGCCTGGCGTGGTGGCACACACCTGGCATCCCAGCACTCAGGAGGCTGAGGCAGGAAGATCGGTACAAGTTAGAGACCAGCCTGGGCTACAAAGTGAGCTCAAGGCCAGCCTGAACTGCATAGTGACACCCTGTCTCAAAAAGACAGAAAAAAAAAATTAAACCACCTAACATGAAAGACCCTGTCAAGAGATGGGCAAGAGAAATGAACACACTCTTCACAGAGGAAGAAATATTATTGGTTAACAAATACAAAAAAAAAATGTTCCACAGCTCTGGCCATCAGAGAAGTGCAAGCTAAAGCAGTACTAAGACTCCACCTTGCTCTGGAAAGAGTGGCAGTCACTAGGAAATCAAGCAACGACAGACGCTGGTGGGACCGTGTGAGTGAGGACCCTTCCTGCTCTGTCGCTGCAAATGCAAATTTCTCCAAGCACTGAAATTAGAGATTCTATGTGTCCCTGCCACCCTCTGCTAGATGATGTCCCTAGAATGCTCAAGTCATCACAACACAGTGACACTCACACGCCAGTGTTTGTTTGTTTGTTTGTTTGTCTTTTTATCGGTACCGGGGATCGAACTCATGACTGCCTGCTTTCAAGGCAGGCGCTTATGCCGCTGAGCTAAACCCCCAGCCCTAACACCAGTGTTTATAGCAGCACAATGTGCAATAGCTGGATTCCGGGAGCAGCCTGTGTGCAGATGACTGGAAAAGCAAGATGTGATATCTGTGTGAAACGGAGTACTACTCAGCTATAAAGAATGACACATTTGAGACATTTACAGGAAAATGGGTGCACCCAGCAAGTAAAATATTCAGTGAGATGTACCAGAAGCTCAAGCTGTTTGGTGTCTCTCGTTTGAGAGAGGCAAGGTGCAGAGAGAACAAGAAAGGGTGGGTAGAAGGGGAAAGGGATGGCTCTCTGGTGACAGGGAAGGGCACCAAGGGACTAAGGGTGAGGGATGAGGAGGACGGGAAGGGAATACGCAGGATAAAGATGTGCTGGGCGCAGGAGCCTAGTGGCCCCTGTTAACACAAACCCTACATGCCACAGCAGGACCAGGAGAGATGACAGCGACAGGAATGAGAAACAGGGTGGGGACAGAGAAAGGGGGAAGCGGGAGGGAAAAGGTTTTCTAAAAAGGGCCAGGCATAGTGGCACATGCCTGTCATCCCAGAATGCAAGAGGCCGAGGCAGGAAAATGACCATGAGTTTCAGGCCAGTGTGATCTACACAGTGAGACTCAGTCTCAAAAAAACTCTGCCTCTGAGCTCCAGCTCCCTCTGGGTAGCAAAGACTTAATGAACAAAACCCCAATTGCACGGGAACTGTCACAGAGAATCAACAGCTGGGATCTCACCCTACTGAAAAGCTTTTGCACGGGAGAACCCACCAACAGAGTGAAAGAAAATGTTTGCCAGCTGTTCCTCAGACAAAGGATTACTACTGAGAACATATAAAGAACTCAAAACATCAGTGCTCCCAGATTAAAAAGCCCAACCCACAAATGGGCATCTGAGATGAACACACACTTCTCAGATGAAGAAATAGGAACAGCAAGTAAATATGTGAAAAAATGTTCAACACAGCTGGTCATTCAAGAAATGCAAATCAAAACAACACTGAGATTCTACCTCACCCCAGAAAGAACAGCTGCTATCAAGAAATCAACCAGTAACAAATGCTGGAGGGGCTGTGGGGGAAAAGGACCCCTTCTCCACTGTCGGTGGGAGAGCAGACTGGTGCAGCCACTGTGAATCAGTGTGGAGAGTCCTCACAAAGCTAGGAGTGGAGGTCCCATTCAACCCAGCTCTTCCCCTGCTGGGTGTCTTCCCAGAAGAGCTAAAAACATCACACCACAGTGAAGTATGTGCATCCATGCTTACAGCAACACAGTTTGTAATAGCCAGGACTCAGAACAACCTAAATGCCCATCGGCTGAGACATGGATAAAAAAGCTGTATTTTTATGGATGGAACATAAAGAGGGATAAACCGGAGACTTTTATAGGTAAACGGATGCAACTTGAGACAGTACTCATTAGTGAGATAAGTCAGACACACGTGTGTAGACATAGTATTGTCTCATTAAGTGTGAGAAGCTGAAAGAAAAAATATATATATGTATGGATAGTTCACATAGTTATACTACCGGTTTCTCTGAGTTCACTGAGGAGAAAGATTCACACTGGTCCTGTTCAGACAATTGAACACAAGTGAACCTGTGCTCTTGGTGACCAATTTGGGGATGACAATGCATTGTGTATGGACCATTGTTGTTCCCTGGTTGTTGTGTTTTGAAATTTTGTTTTATTTTTTTCTCTTCGAAATAAAATGGATTTTTTTTTAAAAAAAATATCTATTTTGGGGTCTTTGTCCTGAGTTCAGGGCTCCCCCAACCTCTAGTAGTGTCCTGAGCCATGGGGCACTGAGGCACCTGCTGTTGACACGTTCGCTCCAAGGGGGGCTCCGAACCCCTTGGAACCTTCTGGCAACAGCAAGGTAGTGTCTCTGTTTCTCAGGAGGTGAGGCTGTGGGGCCTCCCTCCTGGTCACAGGGCGACTTCCAGCTCCCCACCCCATCCACTCTACAGGATGGGGAGGGGCCAGAGACTGGGCTCATCATGGAGGCCCCTGTGTGACCAGTGAACCCAAGAAGGGCGTCACAGGGACCAGTGATGGTGGCCCAGTCGGACAGGCTCTGCAGCCAGCTGGGGCCTCACAGCCGGCAATTGGCCCGGGGCCTGGCAGCTGCCCTGGGGCACCCAGGGGTCCTCCCCTGTGGTCAGAGTGGAGCCGATCTGTGGACCCCCACAGACGTCGGAGAACCACGGATGGAGGCCAAGACCCAGTCGTTGGGGCACAGAACCACCTCTCACAGGTGCCGAGGGATGAGAAAGCACAGCCCTCCCTGATGGTCACTGAACTTATTTCCAAACAGTCCTGCGATGTTTTTGTACCCTTTCACCAGACGAGGAAACTGAGGCTCAGAGGGGTGGAATACACGTCCCCACTTACCAGCTCATCTGTGTCAAAGGCAGGATTGGAACCTCTGGCTCCAGGCCTGCATCCTAACTGCTTCTTGTAAAGTGACTTCCAGGCAGTGACATTATCACCCCCACCAGGCAAAGATGTCCTCTTTCAGGTCCCCCCAGCACCCAGCCTGGCCCATGGACAGTGCTGCTTCCCACAGGACCAGCCTGAATGCCGTGTGTCCCCAGGCTGGGCCTTGGCAACAGCTTCCCCCCAGGAACCCCTCAGCACGCACCCCAGAGCCACGGTCAGCCTGGGAACAGTCCCCTCCGCATCTTTCCCACTTTGGGGTCCATGCAGGGCCAGGCTTTTCCCTCCCTTCCTCTCAGGACAGCAAGGGGCCCCAAGCTTGGCATAGCTGACCCCACCCCACTTCAGATGCACAATGGGGAGGGGTCTCCCCAGGAGCAGCCCCCCACTGACAGCCAACCAGGCCTTGCAGGCAGCCCCTGCCCTGAGACACCGCTGGCCTGACACGTGGACCAGCCCAAAGCCTCGAGTCCTTACATGTCCGCAGCCCCAACTCCAAAATCCCTTTTCGTCACCTGAAACCCAAAGAGATCAGCACAGGCTTTAGAGGAGGCAAACCTGAATTTCAATCCCCATCTTCTACCAAACTCCTCCGTGACCTTCGGTTATGCAACCTTTGGGCCTGGCTGCAGCTGGAGAGCAGGCACTGATGAGTTAGTACTTGAGGCTTCTCGTTGCCTGTGCTTGGACAGCGCCCAGGGGCTGGTTACCTCCCTGTTACCCTGGGGAAGACACTTGGCAGGCTGGGAGCGCTGTCCAAGAACCCTTCTGCCTCCCCAGCCCGTAAAGACGTGGGGCTCAGTGTTTTTCTGTCTCTGGTCTCCACAGCCGATGTGACACCCACAGTGACCGAACAGGCGACGCCTGGTGCATTCCTGTCTCAGCTCTCCTGCACCATCGCAGGCCTGCTGAAGACTGGCTGTTTGCTGACTGACACTGCCATGGTTGTTCTCTGCCTCCCTGGCAGATGACAGGAGTGGCAAACAGGAGGGACAGCCAGTGGGTGCCCCAGCCCCCCGGAGAAAAACTGTCAGGCTGAGCTAACCTTCCCTGTGCTGCCGGCTGGCCGAGTGGTGGAAACACACCCACAGGAGCAGAGATACACAGGCCACAGAGGATCTCACAGAGCCCCCCACAGCCTCCCTGTGCAGCTAGACTCTTTGGTTTACAGAGGGGAAAACTGAGACCCAGGGAGGGGCGGGGAAGGGCCAAGGTCCTTGGGGAGATGGTGGCAGGCCTGCCCTGTGCCCAGCTTAGGAGGGGGGCACGTCCAGGATCTCATCTCCAGTCGCAAAGCTGCCCTCTCGCTGTGGGGAGGCGGGGGCGGGTCCGGGAGCTGCTTGCTTCCCAGATTGGCTGAAGACTGGGGCTGACCTCGCCTGCTCTGCCCAGAAGTATTTAAGGGCTTCACAGAGCATAAGCCATCCCCTGTGCGGGCGGCTCACCCCAGGGTCAGGCTGGCGACCTCTCTGTCCAGGGATCCCTGTGGACACAGGCACTCTGGGAGCACAGAGGCAGCCCCCCTTCTACCCCATCCCGGGGTCCGGGCCAGAGAGCACACACGGGTGTGGCCTCTGTACCCACTGCAGATGCTACTTTTGGGAAGGAAAGGAGCTGTGCAGGCCTGAGCCCTCTCAGGAGAGGCCCAGGGGCTGGAAGCAGGCAGGCAGCAGGCCACCAGGGCGTGGGCAGAGCCGGGCCACTCCCAGGGCAGGACGTGGGGGACACGGCAGCTGATGAGAGAGCTTAACCTACTCCGGAGGAAGAGCAGACGAGAGGGAGGTGTTGCTGGTGACAAAGGCCAAAGGAGGGGCGCAGGGGCTGGGGTGCAGCTGGGAGCTGCGCTGCTGGGCACCTGTGTGTCCCTGTATGTCTGTGGGTCTCTGTGTCTGTGTGTCTGTCTGTCTGTCTCTGTATCTGTGTGTGACTGTGTGTCTATGTGTGTCTGTGCATGACTGTGTGTGTCTCTCTCTGTGTATCTCTGTGTGTGTCTCTCTCTGTGTATCTCTGTGTGTGTCTCTGTGTGTGTGTGGTCCCAGGTTTCACCCCCAGGGCAGGGAGGAAGGAACAGACCGTGGAGGAGGGAAGGAAGGAGGAAGGCTGGCAGCGAGAAGACATTTCGTGGCTCCGGCCACCTGAGGACAGCAAGGGAAATCCAGGCTCTGGATCTGACAGATCCGTCCAGGACCTGGACCCCATTTCTGCCTGTGACCTCCACCTCTCCAGCCCTTGGTTTCTGACCCTATAATTCACACTGGTGGCCTCATTCACGCCACAGGCTTCCAGGAGAAGAACCGCCATGCCTGCGGGGTGCCTCGACCAGGCCCATGGGGTGCCTCGGCCAGGCCCGTGTCACCCCAGAACAGAGTGCCCCAGACCTGCTCTGTCAAATACCCCCATAAAGAACGGGCGCTGCCCCCTACACCCACAGAGACCCTCACTGGAAACATCAGATTCCTGGAGGGCAGAGGTCCCCACCTGTTCCCCGGCTGGCCTGGCCACACTCCCAAGCCAGTTCTCCCTCCCGTCACCCCAGAGCCCCGGGTCAGACTGTCACGCTGCCACCTTCCTCCCTTCCTCCCTTCCTGCCCAGGCTGCAAGTCCTGGAGCTGAGAGAAACCAGCCCCAGACCAGAGGAAGGGGGGCTCCAACTAGGGAGATACTGGGGGCGGGAGCAGTGGGAGGAGCAGTGGATAAGGAGCTGGGAAAATCAAGGAGGGCTTCCTGGAGTTGGTGTCTTCCCTCTGGGTACTGTAATTAAGTACTCTTTGGGAGGAGGTATTGGCTTCCAGCTCTGCGGGAGGGCAGAGCTGGGACCCGCCCAGCTTCACCGGCCAGGCCAGGAAGGGAGGATCCATGCAGCACACAGGCAACAGCAGAAGGCAGGCAGGTCCCAGAGGGCTCCTGGAGGGCATGGCCAGGGTCCCAGGCTCTGTGAGGCCAGTGCAGCCCACCGTGGGCAAGTCCCCATGTCCCCAGCTCCAGTGTCCTCCCCTGACCCTGGCCGGCAACAGGTGTGCTAAATGGACTTGTGCCATAGTTCCTTACTCATGGGCCCCATGGCGTGTGTGCTGGGTGCTCCCGCCCCACTCTATGGGTTCCCCGACTAGGTGGGTCAGAAAAAAGAACAGCTCTGGGTTTGCTCTGGGCCCAGGACACTGCACCCCCACCCCATAGAGTGAACTCCCCATGTAGAGACCCAGTGCTCCCACTAAGAAAACTGCAACAGGACCAAGGGACGTTCAAGAAAATAGAAGCAAAACTTTATTGTGGGAGCAGGCGAGGAATGTGTGAGCCGTGACCTTGGATGGCTGCTTCCTGTACCCCAAAAGGGGTGGGGAGCACGGGGGGTGGGGGGCAAGAACACAGAAAGCCATCAACCAGGGGAGTGGGCACCGCATGGGCCGAGCACTCTCTGAGGACAGGGACTGGCCAGTGCCCCTCAGCCCTGGGGGACCAGGCTAGCAGGGACTGGCCCCAGTGTGGGCACTCAGACATCTCTCTTGTGGGAGGAAACCACCTTGCCGTCCACTGACTCCTCCACTTTGATTCGGAAACTGCCGCCACCACTGCTGCCACCTCCCAAGACGGCTATAGAAAGAAGATGCACCCTGAGCCTGGGCCCCCCTCCCCAGTGTCCCATGGTGGTCAGGACACAGGCCGGGCTCTGAGGAACCTGGACAGCAGCCTAAAATGGCCACAGGACGGTGTCCTCCAAGCCTGGGACAGGGGGGACTGGGTGTAGAATTACTCATCAGTTCTTTGGGCTTCCCAAGGTGGACCCAGGTCCCAGATTTTAGGTGACACCTGGGGCAACACAACTGGGGGTGTCTCACCCCCCAGGCATGAGGGTAGGGCCTGGGCCAGAGCCCAGCCCTGGACAAAGCCTGCTCACCCTGCAATGCAGCCCCCAGAGATGCCCTGGAGAAGAGTGCACCGCAGCAGGGGGCTCCCCAGCCCCCAGGATGTCTGGCTTCTTTCCCATTCTCCTGCACCCCACAACTCCACTCCCCACCCCAATTGTACAGGCAAAGGGGAGTTTCCTACCTTCCCGGGAGCCGACGCTAGCCATCCTGAAAGAGGGGAGCAGATGTAAGCAGAGGGTGGGAGCACCCATCTCCCTAAGGGGAGCTGTGGACCCCTCCCACGCCCCACCAAACACAGCCCTCACTGAGCTCTCCAGGGATGGGGACATCCTGATGGCCCACAGGACCTCGGGGAGCACAGGCAGAGTGTTGGTCAGAGCTCCTCACCAGAGCTCTAAAATCCTGGAGACCACGCCCCCGCTGCCCCACAGTGAAAAAGCACAGCTGGACCCAGTGCAGAGGCCGAGGACTTCCAACCCCACACTGCAGCCTTCCACACCCCACACTGCTGCCCAAGGTTGTGCCCAGTCCCTGTCAGCTGGCCCCAGGCAGCGCCCGTGCCTACTTGGCATCCTGGCCCTCCAACAGGCTGCGGTAGGTGGCGATCTCCTGCTCCAGCCGCGTCTTCACGTCCAGCAGCATGTTGTACTCCTGGCTCTGCTGCTCCATCTCGCAGCGCAGCTGGGCCAGCTGCTCCTCCACGCCCCCAATGAGCCCCTGGATCTGCTGCAGCTGCGTGGCATAGCGGCACTCAGTCTCTGCCAAGGTGCCCTCCAGGCCGGCTTTCTGGTGGGGACAGAGTGGCAGACAGTCACATGAGGCCAGAGGGGAAGACACAGAGGGCACCTGGCGTTCTGGAGGGCAGCAAGGGGTGTGGGGTACCATGCTCAGCTGCGACTGCAGCTCGATCTCCAGCCCCTGCAGCGTGCGCCTCAGCTCCGTGACCTCTGTCTTGCCGGTCTGGATCATCTCCGTGTTGGAGGCCACCTCCTTGTTCAGCTCCTCAGTCTGCGGGGCACACACGAGTGGCATGATCCTGACCATGTCTCCAGAGCCCCTGAAGGGGCCCCTGACAGGGTGGGGTGCGGCCCACCTTGCTGAAGAACCAGGCCTCGGCATCCCTGCGGTTCTTCTCCGCAATGGCCTCATACTGCTCCCTCATCTCGGCCAACATGCGGGTCAGGTCCACACCCGGGGCCGCGTCCATCTCCACATTGACCTGGCCGGCCAGCTGGCTGTTGAACTCCTTCATCTCCTGCGGGCAGAGACACCCGTTGGAAAGGAACCAGTCTTGGTTCCATCCCTCCCTGGAAGTGTGACCTCAGCACACCATACCCACTCTGACCCCTGCTCCTCGTGGTCACCCAGGTCCCTCAGGTGTGCAGATTTCTCTGCTGCTCTCGGTCCCCCCGAGGGAGGACCTGACACAACTGGGAGCTCAGGAAACAGAGGTCACACCTGGCCTGACCTCACACCAGTGCTAAGCTGTGTCCAGTTTGCCCAGAGGGGCAGCACTTCTGCATGCTTGGCCAGCTGTGCCGCAGCAGCCTGAGTCCAGTCTGTCCCCTCTGCCCACAGCCCCTCATGACCCACCTCCTCGTGGTTCTTCCTCAGGTAGGCCAGCTCCTCCTGCAGGCTCTCGATCTGCATCTCCAGGTCGGTCTTGGACAGGGTCAGCTCATCCAGCACCCTGCGCAGCCCGTTGATGTCCGCCTCCACTGTCTGGCGCAGGGCCAGCTCGTGCTCGTACCTGGGAAGAAAGAAGGAGCCCAGGGTCAGCAGGGGCCGGGTGGAGGGGCTCTGGGCGCTGCACAGGGCTGGGGAGGCTGAGGAAAGGGGCGATGCCAGAAAGGGAGGGCACGCCAGGCAGCTTACTTGAGCCTGAAGTCATCGGCAGCCAGCCTGGCATTGTCGATCTCCAGAATGACCCGAGAGTTGTCGATGGTGCTGGCCAGAATCTACGGGAGGCAGAGAGCTGTGACCTGGGGATGCTGCCCCTGCGGCTCCCCAGCCCTGAGCCAAAGGCAGGAACCCTGACCCACAGCCTCCTTTACTCCTCACAGTAGCTCGGGCAGAAGCCTAGAGAGGTCCCAGCCTCACCTCCAGTGCCCAGGATGTGACCTGGCCCTAGGCCACCCTCTATGTGCCCTCACCTCTCTGTCCCCAGGGTGTGGGAGACCAGGGAGGCAGCAGGAACAGGAGACTCTGGGGGACTGGCGCATGCTGGGGTAGGGAGCTGGGCAGGGGTACTCTGGGCACCCCACCAAGCCTCAGCAAGCTGGTGCTCAAGTGAGGAAGGACAAGGGTGGCAGAGCCTGTCCCTAGTCCCCAGGGGTCCCCTAAGTCATGAAGGGGTTTTGGACACGGAAGATATCCTTCAAGGGCGAGGCACAGGGTCCTGGCATTTAGGGAGCAGGAGGCCACATGGAAGCCCTGTCCTCCTGTGGGGGAGGGGCAGGGCGGCCAGAGGGCTCTGGAGTCCCCACCTGTGCCCTGGCAGCACACCAGGACCCCAGGTCCCCTCCCTTCCCAGCACCGCTGCACAGAACAGCTGTGCACCCCAAGTGTGTGGAGGTCATAGGGCAGCGGTCATTGCCTGGGCAGGAGGGTGTCCCCGGTCAGCAGTCAGCGCTCACCCTGCCCTGGGAGCCCCCTGCACCCGCACCCTGACACAAGAGGTTCACCTTGTCCCGGAGCTCCTCAATTTCCTTGTAGTAGCGGCTGTAGTCCCGCTCGGGGCTGACGGGGCTCTGCTTCTGGTACCAGTCCCGGATCTTCACCTCCAGGTCGGCGTTGGCCTCCTCCAGAGCGCGCACCTTGTCCAGGTAGGAGGCCAGGCGGTCGTTGAGGTTCTGCATGGTCACCTTCTCATTGCCAGCGAGGAGAACACCATCACCACCGCCAAAATCACCGAAGCCCCCACCGCCAAAACCCCCGCCCAAGCCGCCTCCAAAGCCTCCGCAGAAGCCGCCACCGAAACCGTAGCTCAGGCCGCCCCCATAGCCTCCGCCCGACCCCGAGGAGGAGACGAACCTAGCAGAAGCTGAGACACTGCGGCTTCCGCCTCCGCCAGATAGGCTCCCCCCACCAAAGCTGCCTCCCCCGGCCCGGAGGGAGCCCCCTCGGCTAGAGCTGCCCCCAAAGCTTGAGGAAGAAGTCTGCAGAAATGTGGTCGCCATGGCCAGGCCGCGGGGTGTCAGTCCTCGGCAGGTACAGTGGGAGAGAGAGACAGACAGACACAGGAGATGCACGCTGGGGAGAAACCGGGGTGCAGCTGTCTGGCGCCCCAAGCCTGGGGCTCCTTATGTACCCCTCAGAGGGGCTGTGGGCGGCTCCTCCCCTGGACAGGAGCCAGCCCTGCCCAGCACAGCCGCCCGCACATCTCCCGCGTGGCTCCCTGCAGGTTTTCTTTTTTTTTTTTTTAAGGCAACAAAAGAAATGATTCAGAAGTAATGGTGCTTTGCCTGGGGCCATGAATTTAACACTTGGATCGCAGGTTCCTCACTCTCTCCACCCCGTGAGAAAGAGTCCTCCACACCACAGTCCCCAAGCCTCCGGTTGGCCCAGCCCGTTACATCGGGGAGGGAGAGGGAGGCCCCGCTTGGTTCCCCTGCCCATGAGCCGGGGGGGGGGGGGGGGGGGGGAGCTGCCCGCCCTAGGCATCCCTGGCCCTGCTCTGAGACCTCCCCCTCAAAGAAGAGCTGTGGTGACCCATGGGACTGGGCAGCTCCCTCGCTGCCACCAAAGCCCTCTCCTGCCCCATCCTCCCCTCTCCTGTTCTCCAGAGCCCCAGCCCCAGCCCCATGCCCTGGCTGGCTTGCAGGTGCCTTGGGGCTCGGGCTGACAGGGGGCTGATGGATGAGCAGCCACCTGCCAACTGCACATGTCCCTGAACCTCTGCCTGCACCCAGACGCGTCTGGGCAGCCCTCTGCAGATAAGTCGGGGGCTGGGGGTGTTCCTTCCCAAGGGAGGACCCGGGGCAGGTGGAGAACACTAGGGACCTCAAGGTTGAGGTGTCACGTCCCGAAGATGGAGACTGTTCCTGGACCAGGCCTGTGTCAGTGACAAGCCTGGGGAAGGAACCCGGGCTCTGCACACTCAGCTACACTCAGCCCTTTTTCATTTTCCATTTTGAGGTAGGAGCTCACTAAGTCACTGGACTACCCAGGCTGGGCTCAAACTTGCCATTCTCCTGCCTCAACCTCCAGAGTGCTGAGATGACAGCTATGTGCCACCCTTGCGTCCCCAGCTGGCCCTGCTGTGCTTCTCTGTGGGATGGGGCACGGTCTGCGCTTGCTTCATTGAGGCCAAACAGCTCCCTGCTGTCCCTGCCACCTCCTGGCTCCCCTTGACTGAGGGGTGACAGTAGGCAGCACCTGGGACTCGCAGGACCCCACGGGGAGAGGCTGTGTGCTTGGACATCAGAACCTGCCCTGCTCTGCAAGCTTAGGCTGCGCCACATCCCTGCCCATCCCTGGGGACAGTATACAAGCTCTTGTTTGGAACTCACTTTGGCCCATGCTGGCCTCAATCTCCTAGCGACCCTCCTGCCTCAGCCTCCCAAGTGCTGGGATGGCAGGTGTGCACCACCAGGCTCGGCTGGCTTCCATTGCAGTTCACCCCACAACAGCACCGTCCCCTCTAATTCCGTGTGAAAGAGTTGCTGGCCCAGACCGGACACTTTAACCAGGAAAAGCCTCAGCCAAGTTAGGGGGCTCCTGCCTCCCCGCCCCTATAGATTTACCTGTAACCCTATACCCCCATCCCTAAGAACCTGTCCCTGGCGCCAAACGTGTGCCAATGAAATACCTGTGCATCCCTAATGCCCCTTGGGGTCCACCCCAGACAGAGGCTACTTATGGGCCTCACTCCACGTGTTCGAGAGAAGAAGAGAGTGAGTGTTCCAGAGAGAGATGCTGCACCCCGGGGCTGGGGGGGGGGGTCTCTCCCAGCATTCCCGAAATAAAGGTTACTTATATTTTATATTTCTTATCTTTGCAGCCACCGCCGCCCACTCCCACGGCCAACCCACTCCTTCCACGGACCTCTTTCCCTTCCACTCCTTCCTCTTCCCATCCCCCTCTCCTCAGACCTCACCGTGCATGACGCAGAGAATGACCCCTGCCCACATCTCACCAAGAATGAAATCAGGACTCAGAGGAGAGGCTGTTAACACAAGACAGCGCAGCCAGGGAGGCTGCAGGAGACAAGGCCCCTCCTCGGACCCCAAATTCCCTGAGACTGGGTCGCTGCCCGGCTGCCGCAGGCAAGTGCTGAGCCCAGACAGTGGGGCATTCATGGGGAGGCGCTGTCTCTCCTCCGAAAGAAAAATAACCCAAGCAGCCAGCCTCATGGAGCCTCCGCAGACACCAAGGCCGGCAATTAGCACAGGAGACTCGGCCCTCCCGGTAGGGGGCTATGTCTGCCGGCCCCACACCCTACTGCTTCCCCTTTGTGCCCTGGCCACGGACAGGGGCTGCTCTGGGCCGGGCAGTGCCAGCAGTGCTGGGGCCCCTCACTGGCACCAAGCCCACGCCTTGGCTGGGCTCCACCCTTCGCACTGGCCCCAGCCCCGGACCACCATGAGCCCCAGGAGCTGGGGACAGAGGACTGGGTCCCTCCTTTCCCATGAGCCAGGTGTGCTATGCGTGATGCCCCCTCTCCAGAGCCACAGTTTATCAAGCAGCAAAATGGAAATAACACTGGCCCTGCAACAGAGAAGACAGGGAGGACGGGCAGGAAATGCCTGAGGGGCCAGAAGAACCACATGACCAGGCCAGGGAAAGACCCCTTCCTTGCCCAGCCAGCTCCCTGCTGGCCCAGGCTGAGCCCACAGAGCTCCCAGGCTGAGCACAAAGCCAGGCTTCATTCCCGGAACCAGACACTGCCCCACCTGTGCAGGCCCAGACCCCGCCCCGGGCACATTCCAGGGGCCCTGGGTGGAGGGAGGGTTTCACTGTGTGACAAGGGAGGCTTTCAAGGCAGGGACCAGGACCCTTGGGGGCTGGGCCTGGGCCACAGGGCTGCACTGCCTGACTGGGACCCACAGGGCGATGGGGGAAACGGCGCCCCCTGCAGGCCAGCATGAGGTGGGGGTGCAGGGCACAGGGAAACCCTTTGGTTTATGCATTTTAGTCGAGCTGAGGATTGAACCCAGGGCCTTTGCCCTACCTACCTCCTGGCTCTTTTTTTTATTTGGAGATAGTCTCCCTAAATTTTTCGGGCTGGGTTTGACTTGCCATCCTCCTGCCTCAGCCTCCCAGTGCTGGGGCTGCAGGTATCTGCCCCACCCTCACCCCAGGTCACAGGGAGTTCAGCAGGGGGAAGGGACCCCACACACCTACTGAGCTGCCCTGCCTTACAGGCCTCCTATTACCCCAAGGGCCCCACCTTACCAGGAAGCTGGGACTTCATTCTTTCATCTGCACAGGGCTGCCCGGACAAGCTGGGCCGGGCAGGGGTTGTGCATGGGAGGCCGGGGTCACAGCGGAGCCCCTTTCCTGGCTCAGGGCCCACGTAAGGGCTGGTGGGCTCCAGAGGCTTTGGTGTTAGCACAGGAGCACGATGCTGGCTCCAAACCCCAGTGCCACTGGATAAGTGGAGTAACGTGCGCCAGCAGGCACCACCCCAGGGGATCCTGGACATAGATGGAAACTTCAGGGGGCCACCCGGGAAGGGGCGGCACCCCAGACTGAGAATCCGGAGCCTCAGCTTCTGCACTTAGGAATCCCTACCCAGCCCTAGACATACAGTTACTTGATCTCTTTGAGCCTGATTCCTAACATGTAAAATACAGGGCCTACAACCACCACTTAACACACACACACACACACACACACACACACACACACACACACACACACGCGTACTCATGCGTGCAGAAGTACAAGCGGAAGAAAACCGAACCTGGCTCCATTTCAAACCTCCCCCACTGCCATGCATAGCACCAGTTAAACACCACAAACCACTTTGCCTCCCTAATCCTCAGTCTGCCTGGCTATAAAATGGGTGCAACCAGTGCTTCCTTCCTGGATTAAATAAAGGAAGGCTCATGGGCCAAGAAGAACTGTCAGGGGTGCTAAGGGAAGGAGGGCAAAGGGCAGAAAGGTTCCACCTTCCCTTTCTTGACACAGAGTGGAATTTGAAGCAAATAAAACCTCCTCCAGGCCAAGTCCTGACCCACCTCTCCGCAGGCTGCAATAAAAACCCAATCTTTCCTCCTTGGGCCATTGAGTTTTATTAGGGGCGGGATGGGACGGGGTGTGGTTCAGGGCACACCCTTCTGGGTGCCCAGGACCACATTCTGCAGGAGGACGGAGGCCCAGGCCAGGCGCCGGTCACTCAAAGGACCTTGGGGCCGGGCAGGTTGTTGTAGTGAGCTTCCTGGCCCTCAAGCAGGCTGCGGTAGGTGGCGATCTCCTGCTCCAGCCGAGACTTGATGCCCATGAGCTGCTGGTACTCCAGGTTCTGGCGCTCGGTGTCGGCACGGACATCGCTCAGCTGTGCCTCAATGCTGCTGATGAGGGCCTGGATCTGCGCCAGCTGGGCCCCAAACCGCGCCTCGGTCTCCGCCAGGGTGCCCTCCAGGGCGGCTTTCTGCAGCGAGAGAGGGGGAGGGGGATAGCACCGTGACTCAGCAGAGCTGGATGCCCACAAATGGGCAGGACCACCAGCTGGCTGCCCAAGCTGCCAGTGTCCCAGGGCGGGGGCTGCGTACCATGCTGAGCTGGGACTGCAGCTCAATCTCCAGGCTCTGCATCGAGCGTCGCAGGTCGGTCACCTCGGTCTTGCCTGCCTCCAGCTGTTCCGTGTGAACTGCAACCTCCCGGGTCAGCTCCTCAGACTGAGGCAGGAGAGGCGCAAAGATGAGCAGAGCTGGGGTTTTGGGGTGGGGCGCCAAGCCCTCTCCTGCTCCCAGCCCCCAACCCCCGGGGCACCCGCTAGCCCTGCGTACCCGGCTGGTGAACCAGGCCTCCGCGTCCTTCCTGTTCTTCTCGGCCATGACTTCGTACTGGCTCCTCATGTCACTCAGGATCTTGGCCAGGTCGGTGCCCGGGACGGAATCCACCTCCACATTGACCTGGCCACCCACCTGGCTCCGCAGAGCATTGACTTCCTGGAAAGACACAGCAGAGATGGGCATGCCAGGGCCCGAGTCTGCAGGGCCCGGGCCAGGTGACACCCCTTCCACAGCCCCAGGTCAAAGGGGTAGATTTCCAGGGACTGGCATCGGGGAGTAGATAGCCAGGGTCCCCACTGTCCCCTGCTGGAACCCTAAGAGGCACGAGCCCTACCCACGGCCACACTGAGGGTGGACAGAAGGCCTAGACCCCCTACCTCCTCGTGGTTCTTCTTCAGGTAGGCCAGCTCCTCCTTCAGGCCCTCGATCTGCATCTCCAGGTCGGTCCTGGCCAGGGTCAGCTCGTCCAGCACCCTGCGCAGCCCGTTGATGTCCGCCTCCACACTCAGGCGCATGGCCTGCTCTGTCTCAAACCTTTCAGAGGAACCCTGGCGGTCAGGCCAGCACTGCCACTGCCCCTCTGTGCCTGCCTGCCTGCCTAGCTCTGAGGGGGGTCACTCACTTGGTCCGGAAGTCATCGGCAGCCAGACGGGCATTATCGATCTGCAGGACAATCTTGGAGTTCTCGATGGTGGCTCCAAGAATCTGGAAGCAGAAGGAAGGCAGGAGGTTGGCACCGCTCACCATATTGGCACTGCCCACCCCGAGTGCCCACTCCCTAATGCCCAGTCACCCAGCCAATGCCCACTGGCCTGCTCTCTGAAGTTAATGCCCAGGAGCAGGGCAGAATGCCAGGTGGGATCATCAGAGAGGCCTGGGGAAGACATCTGTGTCCTGTGCCCACGGGTACTCTGTATGGCCCAGAGGGGTCTACACACCAGACTTGGGGCCAGGAGGAGGGCTGGCACCTCATTCTGCACCCCCTCTCTCCAAGCACATTCTGCCTTCTGGAAAAGAAGCCCATTCTATGCCAGGTCCTCGGACCTGGCTCTGTTCAGCCTGTGGGCACCCAGAGTGCAGATCTGGGAGTCTGCCAAGTCCACCCCTGTAAGGCTACTGGGCCTGCAGGGACAGTTACAGCTCCCAGCTCACCCCTGAAGATAGGGCTGTGCCTCTCCGGTAACCTGCAGAGCAGTCAGGGAGGCAGATGGAGTATAAAAACCAGAGGAAGCCAGGTGTGGTGGCTCAGGCCTGTAATCCCCCGCACAAAGGGAGACTGGGACAAGAGAATCCTTGCAAATTAGAGACCAGCCTGGGCTACAGTGAGCTCAAGGCCAGGCTGAGCTGCATAGCGAGACTCTGTCTCAAAAAGACAAAAAATAAAAAACAAACCAGAGGTGGGAGTCCACCCACCGCGGGGAGAAGGTGTCACAAAATTCTGTGCCTATGCTTGTAGGTGAGTGAATAGGCCGTGCGAGTGAGAGGGAGGAAAGCGAGAGGTTCAGGGTCCCTGAGAAAATGCATTTTCTTTTCATTTGAGTGCTGTCGTCGCTGACATGGGTAGTGGGGATTGAGCTCCCCTGCATCGCTCACTCGTGTAGTGGGCTTCTCCTCGCAGACCCCATTTTAAAACCTGTGGTGAGCACTGTCCTAGCTAGGGTGTGTGGCTGGGCTTGGTTTGGTTTCCTGAAACAAGTCTCCCTATGCAGTCCAGGCTGGCCTTGAACTTGAGGTGATCCTCCTGCCTCAGCCTCCTGAGTGCTGGCATTCCAAGTGTGTGCCACCACACACAGCTCACTATGAGGCCCCTGACACCTCTAGCTCTCCCTCTTCCTGTGTGGGTAGAGGTTGTGACCTCTCTTCATGCAGAAGGGCCCCTCTGAGTTTGTGGCCAGGACCCCAGGGGTGTGGCTGACCCTGGCCCTGGACCTCCAGTGCAGAGGTCTACACAGCCAAGGCGGGGCCTCCGCCCTGTCCCTCTCTTCCCCTCCACAGGCTATCCCATTCTGCCCAGGGCGTTTTATTTTATTTTGAGACAGAGCCTCCATAAATTCCCCAGGCAGAACTGACACTTGCTACCATCCTCCTGCCTCAGTCTCCCAGAGTGCTGAGGTTAATTACTTTCAGCCTGGCTGACTGGGGCAGGAGAAGCTGAGAGAAGGCCAAAGCCTGTGCTTAATGGGAACCGGACCTGAGGCAGGAATGCAGGCGTCCACGCCAGGGTCCCAGGGCCCAGGCTGCACCGGTCCTCCCGGGGCCAAGCTCCTGCTCCTTGCTGAGGCCCTGGGCATCTCCCCGGGCAGTCCAGTATGTGTCCCACGCCGCTGTCCCTTGACCCCCTTCCCTGCCCCTGTCCCCTCCACTCGCGTCCCCCAGCTTCCCCACCCACCCACCTTGTCGCGCAGGTCCTGGATGGTCTGGTAGTAGTGGCTGTAGTCACGAGACGGGCCGGGGCCTTGCTTCTGGTACCAGTCCCGAATCTTCACCTCCAGGTCGCCATTGGCGGCCTCCAGCGCGCGCACCTTGTCCAGGTAGGACGCCAGGCGGTCGTTGAGGTTCTGCATGGTCACCTTCTCATTGCCGCTCAGCAGCGCATCCGGCCCGGCCATCCCGCCCACAAAGCCACCCCCGTAGCCCCCCGAGCTCGAGGACACAAAGCGCGCAGAGGACATGGACACTCCGCGGCCCCCGGAGCCACCGTGGATGCTGGGCGCACGCAAAGCGACCCCGTAGCGCCCGGAGCCGCCGCCCAGGCCCCCGAGGGACGAAGAGACCGAGGACTGGCGGTAGCTGTAGGAAGTCATGGCGAGCAGCGAGCGGAGGACGCAAGCGAGAGATTGAGACCAGAGCTGCGCAGCAGGAGTGGCGAGGCCTTCACCTGGCGCCTTTTATGCCACTGTCCCCAAGGGTGGGGTCGGGTGGACGGCGGGAGCCTGAGGGATCACAGTGCAAACCTGGGCGCTGCCCCATTGGTCACCTCCGCGCGCCCCTCCCCGCCGCGCACCTCTTCCCGCCCCTGGAAGCTGCTGGGCGTCGGCCCCTGGACTCCCTGGTCCTCGACCCATCCCACACCCCCGGGAATCACAGCTCCTGCGAGATGACCTCCAGGTCCCCGCCTGTGACCCCCACGCCTCTTTCTTGGGACAGGATCAGCCCCTGCACTCCAGTCCACGCCAGATTCCCTCACCAGGCGGAAACCACAGTCCCCAAAGCCCGCCCCGTGGGGGACCCCGGCACTCCATCCTTCCCCGTCCCCTCAGACAAAGGCCTTTCCGGATGGAGGCACCGCAAGCTTCCAGGCCTCAGACACAAAGTTGCCCCACCACACCTGGCCGCACTGGGCCGCAGGGTGACTGCACCTGGCAGCAGCTGCAGGGAGTGCTGCCAGCTGGACTGGCACTGCTCAATCCCGGGCTGCAGCTGAGCCCCCTAACCTGGCCCCCAGCAAGCCTGCATTCCTAGGGCATCTGTGGGGCCCCCCAAGGAGTCTGAGCCCCGCCTCCCGAAGGTAGCTTGCCCCAGAGGCATTTAGCACCAGCCAGGCAAAAGTGGGCTAGGCTGGCCACCCTGGGAGGCCCCAGAAGAGTTAGGAACAGTGCAGAACCCGGGTGCCTGTGGGGGTCCTCGGCCCTCTCCCTCCCCTCCCCTCCCCTTCTTTCCTCCCCCCTCTGCACTCAGCCCCAGCCCATGTCCCTCTCCATAGTCTAAATGTCTTTCCAGGCAGGCCAGGGTCCTGCCCCCATCACCTCCCTGCCCCAGGCTGTCCCCAAAGTCCCTGCTCTTCATGTTATCCCTTTCTCAGAACAGAAGCCCTGTGACAGTGTCAGGGAGATGTGAGGGGCCAGACACTCCTGTCCTGGCCTCTGCTTCCCCCCTCGGAAGAAGGACTGGACAGGTCCTGTAGGTTTATTGTCACCTGGATCTCCTGTGTTTGTCCCCTAACTTTTTAATCCCAGTCTTGTGACACTGAGTCCCCAAAGAATTGCCCTCCAGCCACCATCTTATCCAGGAACCCGGGCAAGACCAGCCTCAGGTCACTCAAACCAGAAAAGCAGCTGCAGGAGGAGGGAAAGTAGGTCTGGGGCGCCCAGAGGGGGCAGGGGGGCCAGGAAAGCAGGGTGCGGCCGGCCTCACAGAGGCCGGTGACTCACTCCTTATCTGCCCAGAGGGCCTGGCTGGAGCAGGGGTGGGGCGGATAGTTGCTAGGTGCAGTCAGCACGGTGTTACAGGCCAGCAGGACACTCCAGAGGGACTTTGTCTTCGGAAACAAAGAACAAGGCCACTGCTCCTGCCCCAAAGATTAACGGGTCTGAGCTCCCCAAATCCAGAACAATACAGCAGTGGCCCCAGGGAGCTCTGTGAACCAGGCTTCCTCAGAACCCTGCAAGGCCCAAGGGGAACTGTGTTCCAGTCCTTGGGGATCCATGAGGAAGGGGGCTCCAAGGTGGACGTGACTGCTGCAGGCCCGAAGCTGGGGCTCCCAGACTGTCGCTTCCGGCCTCTCAACCCTGGGCTGCAACCCTGAGTGTCCAAAGCTCTGCTCCCCTCCCAGGGGATCCACAGCCCCCAAATGCCTCCTCCCCGGATCCCTTCCAAAAGACCCAGTCCTGCAGGTTCCTGGGTGCAGGCTGGGGCCCCACAAGGCCCGGAGGCTCCACTGCCCTCACCCACCACCCTGAGCACTGTGGCTGTGGGCAGGGCTGCCAGGAACTCCAAGAAAAAGCCACCCCTGCCCCAGCAGTGCAGCCTGGACTTCCAGCTGCTGACCACCCCCCACCGTGTGCCCCAGTTGCCTGAGCATCTGGCTGCAGGGAAGCAGGACCAGCGAAGCCCCTGCCAAAGGCCTGCTCTTCATGTAGCCAGGCTGAGGGCTTCGAGGTGGCCACAGAAAGGGTTAGCCTGGATTCTGCACAGTGTCCATCTCGAGAGCAGCAGCCTGGCTCCAACATCATTCCCAGCGTTCCCAGCATTCCTGGCATTGGTGCCAGGAGCCCCACAGACTCCACGGTAAGGCAAGGCTCCAAGCGGCACTGGGAGGATCACCGGGACAGGATGGTGCCAGTTAGCGGCCATGGCTGAGCCTGGCCCGCACCAGACACTGGAGCAACCTCACTGTCTTGTGTAACATTACAAGTGTACGTGTTCGTCTCTGTCCAACCAGCTTTCCCCAGTGTACCAGACCAAGGGATCTTTAGGCTGGGAATATTTATTCAAACCCCACAAATTACAGAAAACGCTGGAGAGATAAAAGGACTTGCTGGGGACACGCTGGGTTTAGCTCCTAGGTCCCCGGTGCCTTCTGCTCCCCAGCTGTAGTACACAGATAGAAGCCCGGGGAGAGGGTTAAGATAGGTACTGCTGCATAGTTCAGGCTGGCCTTGCACTCCCTGTGCAGCCCAGGATGGCCCAGAATTTACATCGATCCTCCTGCCTCAGCCTCCTGAGCGCTGGACTGACCAGTGTGCACTACCACTTCCGGTTCACAGAAGCTTCTTGCATGTAGCAGATGAGGACGGTGACCGAGGGAGAGCTTCAGGGAAGGGAGTTTACCCTGGGGGACACAGGACTGTGGGAGACACCAGCAGAAAGAAGTAGGGGGCAGCCCCGGTCGCTGAGTAGAACAGAGTGGGGTGCAGGGGGCAGCAGATGACCACAGCCAACCTCTGCTGTGTGGGCCACTACGCTCAGTTCTGTACACATTATTTCGGTGACTTCTGTCAGGCATTTCTAAATGACCTAAATGACAGTCAAGAAAACCCAAAGGTTTCAGAAGGTTTTGAAGAAGCTGGAGAGATTCACAGCGTGGCTGGCGTCCCACCAGGAAGTCGTGGACCTGGAACACAGCAGTCATAAATCCATAACTGCCACCCCAACCTCTGACACTTTCCCTGTTCTAATGGGACGGAGGCCAAAGGATCTTCCTCCACCCCAAGAGCTCACCACCTGCCATGGAAGGTTTGAGCTGTCCTTCCTGCTGTGACGCACCTCCCTCCCCAGTCATTGGTCCCTGCTCCCTGAGCTCGCCTAGCATGAAAAGGTCTCAGGTTCCCAGCAGAGCAGAATTCTGAGCCAGAGGGCAGAGAGGGAGGAGGAGGGCTCTGGGAACCTCCTGCCCTTCACAGGCACCGCTCCGGTGACCCCCAAGCTTGAGGTCTGGGGTCCCACACCATGCACCGGCCCCTTCTTCTGTGCCCGAGGCGGGCCATGTGGCCAGGGTTCTGGTTGCGGGGCACAAGGGACACAGACTGGCTTTAACAACACACAAGACCACACATTCACTGTCACTGTCTCCTACAGCTTGTCTCAGAAACAGGAAGCCAGCGGGGGTGGGGGGGGAGGCGAGCCCTAGGGTTTAGGGGCACAGGAAGGGGGAAAGGCAGAGAGGCCACAAAAAGGAGGAGATTCTCAGGGCACCCCCAGAGCAGCTCAGAAACTGGGAAGTCAGCAGCCCTGAGGGGAGAAGCAAAAGTCACGAGGTCCCAACAAAGTCTAACTACAACACACACGGGGAAAGCAGCCAGTAAGGAACCCCCCAAAACCCCAAAATGTGCTGGGCAGATGGGAGAGTTGCAGCCGCCCACTTGGCAGGCGATTTTCAAACGTTCACATTGAGCACAGCTCTCCTTTCCCCATGAACCCCAGGGAGGCCCTGCAGCCGTTCAGGGAGACCCACACCATGGCCCACTTGTGAACCCAAAACTCTGGGAGGCTGAGGCAGGAAGATCATCACTGCACATTCCAGGCCAGCCTGGGCTACTTAGTGCCTTAGCAAGACCCTGACTCAAAATAAAAATTGAAGAAAAAAAAAGCCTGAGAATGTAGCTTCTTTGCACAAACTCAGGGTTCAATTCCCAGTGCCAGATAAAGAGGGGGAGGGTGCTCTTTGAAGCACTGTTTGCACTAAAGAAAAGATAGAAACCACTACTGGTGGGGGTGGCGGGTGGCTGAATAAACAGCAGGACAGATACAGGAGGGCGGAGCAGAGGCAGAAATCAAACAGGGAAGGTCAACAAACTGCTGCCGCCCAGAAAACCCTGAGCGTCAGGAGCCGGGCCTTGAAGCCACAGGAAAGCCCTCTCTCTGTGTGACAGGACAGGGGCAGAGGCCTAGAAGACCTGGCCATCTCTGGTGCAGGGCGAGGTCAGGGGAAACCCAAATTGGATCCCTGGGGTTTTAATTCTACCGCACTGTCTGTTAATTGGTTGTAAATGTTCCTTAGGCAACACCGTGAGGTCAGCAGTCAGCGTTTATTCAGAACTGGCTGAAGTCCGCGTGGAGACCAGAAACAGCCTCCCCTCCCATACCTACCACCCACATCCAGGGCTCTGTCCCCCAACGTCTTGCCCTGGGAAGCAGACAGGAAGTTGGGGGATGGGAGGAGAAGGGGAGGAGAACAGGGAGACCTCTGTCCCCAGTCCTGGGTCCCTGGGGCCATGGAGGAATTTTAGAAGCATCTGGTACCAGGGGCTCCTCAGCCCCCGCGACTTTGATCTGGGGGGGGGGCTCCCACTCTGGCTCCCCAAGATCAGGAGATCTGGGCACATCTGCAGCTGGCCCTGCAGAAGTTCCCACACTGGCAGGTGCCACTGTACCCCCGGGCTAGCGCTGCGGCTGGGCAGTCTACAGTGTGGGCCGGCAGCCAGCAGCCACCCTCTGGGCACCTGCGACCACACCCCTGGGGACACAGTGAAATAAGAGGGTGATCTTTAAGGGCCCTGCTCCTGATAGCCACCATGTGGGCCACCACGCAGAACTAAGGGGCCAGTGGCATTTGGGAATCATGTGTGCCCCTTCCTGCCTAGAGGGTGTGGACAGCTGTCCCCCAAGGACCTGAAAGGCCAGAAGCTGCCAGCCAGGGAGAGGCAC